AGGCATTGAACTCCAGTGGTTAACGTTAGGCATAGACCTCCAGTGGTTAACGTTAGACGTTGACCTCCAGTGGTTAACATTAGAAATAGACCTCCAGTGGTTAACGTTAGACGTTGACCTCCATTGGTTAACGTTAGGCATTGACCTCCAGTGGTAAACGTTAGGCATAGACCTCCAGGTGTAAACGTTAGGCATAGACCTCCAGCGGTTAACGTTAGGCATTGACCTCCAGTGGTTATCGTTAGGCATTGACCTCCAGTGGTTAAAGTTAGGCGTTGACCTTCAGTGGTTAACGTTAGGCATTGACCTCCAGTGGTTAACGTTAGAAGTTGACCTCCAATGGTTAACGTTAGGCATTGACCATGTTAGGCATTGACCTCCATTGGTTAACGTTAGGCATTGACCTCCAGTGGTAAACGTTAGGCATATACCTCCAGTGGTTAACGTTAGGCGTTGACCTCCAGTGGTTATCATTAGGCATTGACCTCCAGTGGTTAACGTTAGGTGTTGACCTTCAGTGGTTAACGTTAGGCATTGACCTCCAGTGGTAAACGTTAGGAGTTGACCTCCAGTGGTTAACGTTAGGCGTTGACCTCCAATGGTTAACGTTAGGATTTGACCTCCAGTGGTTAACGTTAGGCTTTGACCTCCAGTGGTTAACGTTAGGCATTGACCACCAGTGGTAAACGTTAGGCGTGGACCTCCAGTGGTAAGCGTTAGGCATTGACCTCCAGTGGTTATCGTTAGGCATTGACCTTCAATGGTTAATGTTAGGCGTTGACCTTCAGTGGTTAATGTTAGGCATTGACCTCCAGTGGTAAACGTTAGGTGTTGACCTCCAGTGGTTAACGTTAGGCGTTGGCCATGTTAGGCGTTGACCTCCAGTGGTTAACGTTAGGCTTTGACCACCTGTGGTTAACTTTAGGAATAGACCTCCAGTGGTAAACGTTAGGCTTTGACCTCCAGTGGTAAACGTTAGGTGTTGACCTCCAGTGGTTAACGTTAGGCATTGGCCATGTTAGGCGTTGACCTCCAGTGGTTAACGATAGGCTTTGACCACCAGTGGTTAACGTTAGGCATAGGCCTCCAGTGGTTAACGTTAGGCATTGACCTCCAGTGGTTAACGTTAGGCATTGAACTCCAGTGGTTAATGTTAGACATAGACCTCCAGTGGTTAACGTTAGACGTTGACCTCCAGTGGTTAACATTAGGCATAGACCTCCAGTGGTTAACGTTAGACGTTGACCTCCAATGGTTAACGTTAGGCATAGACCTCCAGTGGTTAACGTTAAGCTTTGACCTTCATTGGTTAACGTTAGGCATTGACCTCCAGTGGTTAACGTTAGGCATAGGCCTCCAGTGCTAAACGTTAGGCGTTGACCTCCAGTGGTAAACGTTAGGCATTGACCTCCAGTGGTTATCGTTAGGCATTGACCTTCAATGGTTAACGTTAGGCGTTGACCTTCAGTGGTTAATGTTAGGCATTGACCTCCAGTGGTAAACGTTAGGTGTTGACCTCCAGTGGTTAACGTTAGGCGTTGGCCATGTTAGGCGTTGACCTCCAGTGGTTAACGTTAGGCTTTGACCACCTGTGGTTAACTTTAGGAATAGACCTCCAGTGGTTAACGTTAGGCGTTGACCTCCAGTGGTAAACGTTAGGCATTGTCCTCCAGTGGTTAACGTTAGGCATTGAACTCCAGTGGTTAACGTTAGGCATAGACCTCCAGTGGTTAACGTTAGGCGTTGACCACCAGTGGTTAACGTTAGGCGTAGACCTCCAGTGGTTAACGTTAGGCGTTGACCTCCAGTGGTTATCATTAGGCATTGACCTCCAGTGGTTAACGTTAGGCGTTGACCTTCAGTGGTTAACGTTAGGCATTGACCTCCAGTGGTAAACGTTAGGCATTGACCTCCAGTGGTAAACGTTAGGTGTTGACCTCCAGTGGTTAACGTTAGGCGTTGGCCATGTTAGGCGTTGACCTCCAGTGGTTAACGTTAGGCTTTGAACACCAGTGGTTAACGTTAGGCATAGACCTCCAGTGGTTAACGTTAGATGTTGACCTCCAATGGTTAACGTTAGGCATTGACAACCAGTGGTAAACGTTAGGCATAGACCTCCAGTGGTTAACGTTAGGCGTTGACCTCCAGTGGTTAACGTTTGGCGTTGACCTCCAGTGGTAAACGTTAGGCATTGACCTCCAGTGCTTAACGTTAGGCATTGAACTCCAGTGGTTAACGTTAGGCATAGACCTCCAGTGGTTAACGTTAGACGTTGACCTCCAATGGTTAACGTTAGGCATTGACCATGTTAGGCATTGACCTCCATTGGTTAACATTAGGCATTGACCTCCAGTGGTAAACGTTAGGCATAGACCTCCAGTGGTTAACGTTAGGCGTTGACTTCCAGTGGTTATCGTTAGGCGTTGACCTCCAGTGGTTAACGTTAGGCGTTGACCTTCAGTGGTTAACGTTAGGCATTGACCTCCAGTAGTAAACGTTAGGTTTTGACCTCCAGTGGTTAACGTTAGGCGTTGGCCATGTTAGGCGTTGACCTCCAGTGGTTAATGTTAGGCTTTGACCACCAGTGGTTAACGTTAGGCATATACCTCCAGTGGTTAACGTTAGGCATTGACCTCCAGTGGTTAACGTTAGGCATTGAACTCCAGTGGTTAACGTTAGAGATAGACCTCCAGTGGTTAACGTTAGACGTTGACCTCCAGTGGTTAACATTAGGCATAGACCTCCAGTGGTTAATGTTAGACGTTGACCTCCAATGGTTAACGTTAGGCATTGACCATGTTAGGCATTGACCTCCATTGGTTAACGTTAGGCATTGACCTCCAGTGGTAAACGTTAGGCATAGACCTCCAGTGGTTAACGTTAGGCATTGACCTCCAGTGGTTAACGTTAGGCATTGAACTCCAGTGGTTAACGTTAGACATAGACCTCCAGTGGTTAACGTTAGACGTTGACCTCCAGTGGTTAACATTAGGCATAGACCTCCAGTGGTTAACGTTAGACGTTGACCTCCAATGGTTAACGTTAGGCATTGACCATGTTAGGCATTGACCTCCATTGGTTAACGTTAGGCATTGACCTCCAGTGGTAAATGTTAGGCATAGACCTCCAGTGGTTAACGTTAGGCATTGACCTCCAGTGGTTATCGTTAGGCATTGACCTCCAGTGGTTAACGTTAGGCGTTGACCTTCAGTGGTTAATGTTAGGCATTGACCTCCAGTGGTAAACGTTAGGCATTGACCTCCAGTGGTTAACGTTAGGCGTTGACCTCCAGTGGTAAACGTTAGACATTGACCTCCAGTGGTTAACGTTAGGCATTGAACTCCAGTGGTTAAAGTTAGGCATAGACCTCCAGTGGTTAACGTTAGACGTTGACCTCCAATGGTTAACGTTAGGCATTGACCATGTTAGGCATTGACCTCCATTGGTTAACGTTAGGCATTGACCTCCAGTGGTAAACGTTAGGCATAGACCTCCAGTGGTTAACGTTAGGCGTTGACCTCCAGTGGTTATCATTAGGCATTGACCTCCAGTGGTTAACGTTAGGCGTTGACCTTCAGTGGTTAACGTTAGGCATTGTCCTCCAGTGGTAAACGTTAGGCATTGACCTCCAGTGGTAAACGTTAGGTGTTGACCTCCAGTGGTTAACGTTAGGCGTCGGCCATGTTAGGCGTTGACCTCCAGTGGTTAACGTTAGGCTTTGAACACCAGTGGTTAACGTTAGGCATAGACCTCTAGTGGTTAACGTTAGACGTTGACCTCCAATGGTTAACGTTAGGCATTGACCACCAGTGGTAAACGTTAGGCATAGACCTCCAGTGGTTAACGTTAGACGTTGACCTCCATTGGTTAACGTTAGGCGTTGACCTCCAGTGGTTAACGTTTGGCGTTCACCTCCAGTGGTTAACGTTAGGCGTTGACCTCCAGTGGTAAACGTTAGGCATTGACCTCCAGTGGTTAACGTTAGGCATTGAACTCCAGTGGTTGACGTTAGGCATATACCTCCAGTGGTTAACGTTAGGCGTTAACCTCCAGTGGTTAACGTTAGACGTTGACCTCCAATGGTTACGTTAGGCATTGACCATGTTAGGTGTTGACCTCCAGTGGTTAACGTTAGGCATTGACCTCCAGTGGTAAACATTAGGCATAGACCTCCAGTGGTTATCGTTAGGCACTGACCTCCAGTGGTAAACGTTAGGCATTGACCTCCAGTGGTTAACGTTAGGCTTTGAACACCAGTGGTTAACGTTAGGCATAGACCTCCAGTGGTTAACGTTAGATGTTGACCTCCAATGGTTAACGTTAGGCATTGACAACCAGTGGTAAACGTTAGGCATAGACCTCCAGTGGTTAACGTTAGGCGTTGACCTCCAGTGGTTAACGTTAGGCTTTGAACACCAGTGGTTAACGTTAGGCATAGACCTCCAGTGGTTAACGTTAGATGTTGACCTCCAATGGTTAATGTTAGGCATTGACAACCAGTGGTTATCGTTAGGCATTGACCTCCAATGGTAAACGTTAACCCAATGACCTTAATTGTTTAAAAGTTAGATATTGACATTTAATTGCCTGAGTTTTCGCCTTGTTTTGCAAATTGAGGGTTTACCATTCAGACAGGACTGACTGTTGTTAGTGTGCCATGTAAATCCAGAAGTCAGAGATCATTTATATTTATAAGTAACGTCACTTTGGTAGTTATTCTTAACTCAAACCACAATCCTTTCCATAACTTAAACAAGTAGTAAACTAACCGAGCAGTTGCGTGTGAAGAGTTTTGAGAATACTGTATGACTTACACTACAAGCATTAATTGGTAAAGGGATCTGGACACAAGAAATACGGAATATATTTTTAAAGATATCTCACAAATCGTTGATTGAGAATATGTTGCTCCCCACTATATCGCTTTTTCTCATACTCTTCTAACATGTTTTCTTTTAAATCTTTCTCACCTCCTTTCTCCTCCTACCTTCCCTCAGCAGGACAATGTTACGAATGCGCTATCGCTCCAGGACAATATGTCTTTCCTTGGCCTTCTTCACCGTTTTCTTCCACCTCCTGCTGGTGCTTGTCTCTCTTCCTATTAACCAGCAGTCCTGTGACCCCCCGCTGACCCCCAGGACCAACATCCTGAGAGAGCTGGCCCACAAAGACCAGTCCTCAGTGGGGAGCGATGGTCCAGCTGAGGCCTCCACTGGGAGACAGGCGTACAGTAAGGATGCCAGGATGGATTCCAGGAAGGATGCTAGTAAGGATACCAGTAAGGATGCCAGTTTTCAAAGTCAAAGGTTTTATTGTCATATGCACAAGGCTACAGTGTAGAAATGGCAATGAAAATCTAGTAAGGATGCCTGTAAGGATGCTAGTAAGGATGCCAGTAAGGATGCCAAAGTATTTTATCACCTTGGGGGAATTTCAAGTCCATCTTAAAGGACAGAGAACATGAAACCATTGGTCGATGTGATTGCTTTTGAATGTTTTCTGATAGTTTGTTTTATTTGCATATTGACTGGCTAATGTGCCATTTAATTTGTGTTTTACAGCTGTATTCGTCTGCCTGTATTGTTTGGTGTTCATTTGTTGTAACTTTGTTCTGCCCTCTGAAGAATATATTTTAATCTTAATGAGACCTGGTTAAATAAAGGATATATATAAAGGTCGTGAGCTAACACTCTCTGACGGGGTTGTATCTTTGAAAGGAGGTGGATTTGACCCGATGGACGTGTCCTCTGTCACTGAGCGATCTCTGGAGTCTGATCAGAGGAAGATGGAGGCTCTTTTTGATCATCCTCTCTACAACATGCCCGGCCTCCCCGTCCCCGAGGAGGACCGGCTGCTGAAAGTCAAACCAAGAGTCCATTCCAGTGACAAGAGCTCCCAGATGTGGTCAGTCGTCTCTACTTTGACAACTCTACTATCACTTTTTAACTCGCCTATTTTGCGGAGTTTATGTTCAATTAGTTCAAAATTATAATTTTGGAAATGACGTTATCATTTGAGCATAATAAAGCAGAAAGACTGCACTTTAATACTTGTTTCTTAATCGCAATAATGTGTTATGGAAGAAGTTATCACACATTATTCTTATATATTGTGCAGCCATTCTCTAGTACCACAAAGTTATCAGACTTCCCTCCCGGTTGTGTTTCAGGGTGAGTGTGAGTGAGGAGGATAACGAGGACGTCCGGTGGAACAGCAGCAGTGACTCTCACCCCCCCTGGCTGCGCTTCCATCTTGGTATTTCCCGCTGGCAGCTGTTCGCTCACCGGGACCAGAACATGGCGACGCTGACTCAGCAGATCGCCACGCAGAAAGTCGTCAGCGCAGGTGAGACACGAAACAAAATATACATACTTTATAACACCTATAATCCATTTTTGGAGAATTTTAACTTTTTCTCAGGAATTTTGACTTTGTTTCCGAATTTTGACTTTTTCTCAGAATTTTTATTTTATGGGACTTTTAACGTTTCCTCAGATTTTTTTGATTTTTCCAGATTTCGGACTGAATCTTGACTTTTTCTTAGAACTTATTTTTTTTTGGAATTTATACTTTTCTCCGGAATTTTGACTCTTTTTCCGAATCTTGAGTTTTCCTCCAAAATTATATTATTTTCTCAGATTTCTGAATGAAACATCTGGAAACCACATTCAGATCAATATCTAATTTACAAATTTACAAAGAAGAATAAATACGGTGAATTATACTGTATGTGTTAATATCCAAGTTCAAATATACACGAAGACGAACAGCGTGACAAATGATAAATAAACACTTTAAGGAATAGGCTAGCACTTAAATCTATGAAACAGCCTACGGAGGAGGTGAGAACAAATGTTGGGATGTGACCAAAAGTTACATTTTTTTAAAATTTGACTTTAGGTGAATAGTATGTCATAATATCCAAGTTCAAGTATACATGAACAGCTTTCTGGAATAGGCTAGTGTTTAAGGATAAAAAGAGCAAAAGCTAATTCTAAATCAGGCTACGGAAGAGGATTAGGCTCACCTGAGAACAACATTTGGGATGTGACCAAAAGTTTAAAAATGTTTTGGAATTTGACTTTAATCTTAGAATTTTAAGAATTTCCAGGTTTTTCTTTATTTCATACAAAATACATTTACAGATAATTTTTCTAAGAATTCTGACTTTTTTTCTAAGAATTCTGACTTTTTTCTCAATTAAATTCAATTAAATTCAAAACCTTTATTTATCCAGGTAAAATCCCATTGAGATCAATGATCTCTTTTTCAAGGGAGACCTGCAGCAGTAGGTTCCACAAGAAGACATAAACAACAGAACAACAAAAGGACATCATACAGCAAAATGTACAGGGATTACAATTTACATATTTAACCACAAGTACAGGTACCAACAGCATCTGATTTTGTAGCATCCAACCGAGCTTTAAAAACATGTAGTGGTACTAGCTTGGTAATTTTCATTACATTATTACATTACATTGCATTTAGCTGACGCTTTTGTCCAAAGCGACTTACAATAAGTACATTCGACCAGGAAGACACAACCTTGAAGAAAACAGAATCATATAAGTATATCAGGTTTCATAGAGCCAAACATTTCAAGTGCTACTCAACTGGCTTTAGGTAATCCAGTCCTTTATTGGTATAAAAGTGCTTCGTTAATCGTTCTAACGCTCGAAGTGGAGTCGAAAGAGATGAGTTTTCAGTTTGCGCCGGAAGATGTGCAAGCTATCTGCCGTCCTGATGTCAATGGGGAGCTCATTCCACCATCTTGGAGCCAGGATAGCAAACCCACGTGTTTTCGCCGATGGGAACTTGGGTCCCCCTCGCAGCGAGGGCGCAACGAGTCGTTTGGCTGATGCAGAGCGTAGTGCACGCGCTGGGGTGTACGGTTTAACCATGTCCTGGATGTAGGAAGGGCCAGATCCATTCGCAGCATGGTAAGCAAGTACCAGTGTCTTGAAGTGGATTCTAGCAGTTACCGGAAGCCAGTGAAGGGAGCGGAGGAGCGGAGTGGTGTGGGAGAATTTAGGAAGGTTGAAAACCAGACGAGCCGCTGCATTCTGGATGAGCTGCAGAGGTCGGATGGCACATGCAGGTAGACCAGCCAGGAGGGAGTTGCAGTAGTCTAGGCGTGAGATGATGAGAGCCTGGACCAGAACCTGAGTCGCTTTCTGAGTCAGCTTTCCATTCTTTTTGCAGACTGTTCCATGTTAGTGGAGCTGCACATCTAAAAGCTTTCTTCCCTAAGACAGTCCTAGCACTTGGCACATTTAATAAAACCACAGCATGCGATCTCAGGCAATAAGTACTTTCAATTCGCAGAGAGATCAGGGAGCAGATATAAGATGGTAGTTTATCCAACATGGCTTTGTAAATGAAAAAGTACCAGTGACTGAGCCTCCGTACAGTAAGTGATGGCATAACCGCCTTGGTATACAGGGTACAGTGATGCGTAAGTGCTTTACAATTTGTCAAAAATCTCAGTGCACTGTGATACGCAGCATCTAACTTGCTCAGGTAATTGGCAGGTGCATTCATATATAACAAATCACCATAATCCAGCACAGGTAAAAAGGTCACAGTGACTAGCCTTTTCCTGGCCTCAAGCGAGAAACAGGACTTATTTCTGTAAAAGAAACCTAGCCTAACCCTCAGCTTTTTAAGCAGGTTATTGACATGAAGTTTAAAAGTGAGACAGTCATCAATATGACTATATTATAACAATATGACCTCAATATTCTAACTTTTTAAGATTAAAGTCAGAACTGTATTTTATTTCTAACTTTGGCTCATATCCAAAGAAACAGTTCTCACGTGACCCTATCCTCTTCCCTAAACCGCCATGTGGGTCATCATAACCACAGGGTTTCACTTAGGGACCATCAATACATATGAATATGATGTAGGATAATTATAAAAAAATGTGGCCTACTGTATGTGGCACATCTTACACACAATTGCTGATGCCTTTTTAAAATATATTTAATTGGAGATTTTTTTCAATAGCTTCCACGTCATCTGATTCAGTGACTCTGAATACAAACAGGTACTATAGCTACACTTAATAACTACCTCTTTGCATTTGATTTGAGGTCTTTAGCTGTATTTTTCAGCAGTTTCTATTGAAAAGTCTCGATTATTTTCAATAGTGTGATTCAATTAACCTCTTGAATACATTTGTGTATGAAAAGCTTTTGTAAGACTGCAGCCGGCACAAGAAAGACATTTTCAAAAGGAACAGATCTATCAATTTAACCTAAAAGCCCTCAACCCAAACCTGCTGTGATGAAGGTGTGCATGGGCGGCACCAGAGATTTCTGTTGGGGTGCTGTAGGGTGGCTTGACGTTTCATAGAGGTTGCTCAAACATGTAGGCCGCAGTGGTTCTCAAAGTGTGGTCCGCGGACCACTGGTGGTCCGTGAGCGCCCCCTAGTGATCCGTGAGTATATTGGTAACATTTCACATTTTAAATAAATAAATTAGAGCTCTCTCGCGGGAATATCTCCGCAATGGAGCAAGCTTACGTTTCACTTTCGATTGCATGATATAGCCCAGTGCAACACCTTCATTACACATGTTGCCACTTGTTTGTACCATTTTCAGGCGATTTGTAATCTGTTCTAGAAAGACTATGTGATTTGGGATATTTGTGGAGTTAGGTGGTCCGCGAGTGTTTTTTTATTGGTCAAGTGGTCCTTGGTATGAAAACGTTTGAGAAACACTGATGTAGGGTTTCCCATTAATGTAGCTACCGGGCGCTACAGAGGAATGTTCTACTGCAACACTCCCAACACGCACGCACACAATACAGGATTTATTTTTAAACCAAAACAAACGACCAGTCAACTAAACGATTAATAGAAGACAGCCCTTAAACAAACAGGTTGAAACAAAGATGAAGAAATACTGAAATGATATATCGTTCTAAAAGATAAATGGATATCATGTACAGGAAAAACTTTGAGGATAAATCCTGTGACGCACGCTTGTGATGATGCTCTATATCACATGAGAGATGCTGGGAGCACTGATGGGAATGAATGCATCTAACACAATGTCACGCTAAATATAGCAGGAGACGTGGTGTGTGTGTGTGTGTGTGTGTGTGTGTGTGTGTGTGAGAGAGATGTGACACACTTGAAGCCTGTTATATGTCGGAGATGACGCACATGTTTTTGAGTGTGTCCATTAATGGCCAATGTGTTTTGTCACAGCATGTCATATGTGTGTGTGTGTGTGTGTGTTCACTGTGTTGCCATGGAAACGTTCTCTATGCTGGTTTTCAGTGCAGAAGTCCGGGGGGACGCAGCTGAAGCTGGTGATGACATTCACAAACTACGGACAGGCGCTGCTGAAGCCCATGAAGTGAGTCGGAAACACAACAGCTGAGAATCATCTGTGGAAATAAACACGGTGAAGCACAAGGGGAAGAATATTTAGTTATGAGCCTTTAGACAACTGAGACATTTATTGTTTTTGTAAATACTTGCAAGGACCATCTCTGCTCATCTCAAGTACATTTTACAGAAATTATTCAACACTTATTAGGATGATTCAATAATCTTTTAGGTAATTATTCTAAATGAGTTGTTATCCTCTCTAATCTGGAGATGTGCTGCTTATTATATACATATCAAAGTGAATATATTGACTGACAAAACTAAATATTTAAAAGACAACTCTTACTAACTGGAGTGGTCGTAAAAAATACATACAAATACATTTTCTAGACAAACCCACGAATCGAGGATAAATGTGTTGATTAATCAATAATGAAATAAACTGCTAGTTGCAGCTGGGCTGGGCACGTGGAAGAAACATATAATATCATGATATTTTGGACCACATACCTTAAAGGTCCCATGTCATGGCCATTTCTACTGATCATGATCCCATCGTTGAGGTCTACTAGAATAGATTCACATTGTTCATGTTCCAAACTCACATTGGTTTCTCACAGCATCTCTGTATAGTCTGTGTATTCACTCTCTGTCCTACACGGCTTGATGGAGCTCCTGCCCCCCCCCCCCCCCCCCCCCCCCCCCTGTGAGCCCACTGTGCTCTGATTGGTCAGCTCGCCCACTCTGTTCTGATGAGTCCACCACCGTTACAGCGGAACATCAGTGATTATGTGTCACAGTGGCGTTAGTTAGCAACCAGGAAATGACACTAGTGATGACAAACAGATGAGAATGCTGCGTGGGGTCTGGGGGCCGTGTTGGCGGGACGTTGCGGGGCTCGCTGCTCCGCCCTTTGAGGCTCGAGGAGCGGACAGTGTGAGCTGGCTTACTGGTGTTGTTCCCTGGTTGCTGCGTGGGGTCTACGGGACGGCGGGACACGGCGAGGCCCGCCGAGGCCCGGCCCGAGCACACACTCACACCCACAGCCAGGCTGAGTTCAGGCTGAGTTCCGCGGTGTCTCGCTGTCCCGTAGACCCCACGCAGCAACCAGGGAACAACACCAGTAAGCCATCTCACACTGTCCGCTCCTCGAGCCTCAAAGGGCGGAGCAGCGAGCCCCGCAACGTCCCGCCAACACGGCCCCCAGACCCCACGCAGCATTCTCATCTGTTTGTCATCACTAGTGTCATTTCCTGGTTGCTAACTAACGCCACTGTGACACATAATCACTGATGTTCCGCTGTAACGGTGGTGGACTCATCAGAACAGAGTGGGCGAGCTGACCAATCAGAGCACAGTGGGCTCACAGGGAGGGGGGGGGGGCAGGAGCTCCAACAAGGCGTTTAGGACAGAGAGTGAATACACAGACTATACAGAGATGCTGTGAGAAACCAATGTGAGTTTGGAACATTGAACAATGTGAATCTATTCTAGCAGACCTCAACGATGAAACTATGATCAGTAGAAATGGCCGTGACATGGACCTTTAAAACCAGGTAAAGACACATATTATGATAACTGAAATCTAAGACGATGTCTAGTCTCATTTCATAATATTTGACATGTCAATATATCCCCAGCTCTATTCAAAGCTTTAAGCAGAACAAGTTTAACTTGATCTCAAAATGCATTAAAGTTGAATGTGTCTGTCTGACAGGCAGGAGAGAGATGAAGAAACCAACTACAACCTGTACTACTTCTCAGACTTTGAGAGACACAACGCAGAGATCGCAGCGTTTCACCTGGACAGGTAAACATGCTTTCAACACTGCGTCAAAGTGTCTCTTTGTGAACTTCTTTTTATAGACAGTGATTTTTAGTTTTTATCTTGTCAATGTGTCGTTCTTCATTGTCTGTATGGTGACATTTCGTAGATAGGGGTCTAGGTGGTTCCCTGACACCTTTGGCCTTTTCCTTGATTCCTCCTCCTCTCCTCTCCTCCTCTTTTTATTGTATTTAACAAACAAATACATCCCCCCATCCTCCCCCTCAGGGTGCTGGGCTTCAGGAGAATTCCCCCTGTTGTTGGGAGGCTGGTGGATGTTGTGGAGGAAATTAAGGACGTGACGACAGACCGTAAACTGGCTCGGACCTTCTTCACTTCCCCAGGTACCGCTCACTCTCCCCTCCACTGATCATCTGACCCTCCACTGATCATCTGACCCTCCATTGATCATCTGACCCTCCCTCGATCATCTGACCCTCCCTCGATCATCTGACCCTCCATTGATCATCTGACCCTCCACTGATCACAGGTCCGGTTCCAGAACAAAATGACTCAGGGTGCATCTGAGATTAGAGAGGGTGCAGTGGTAAAGTGCTATTTTTATAAGTGGGGAGTGGACCTAACACCCTCTAGGGGGGTCCTCACCTCCTCTAGGAGGGTCCTCACCCTCTCTAAGGGGGTCCGGGGGCAAGCTCCCCCGCGAAGATTTTTTTTTGTCGAATGCAGCAGACAGGTCCAACAGGATGATGACAGAGGAGAGGGATGCAGTTTTGGCAGTGTGCAGTTCCTCCGTGACAGCAATGTCCAATAACTATAACTCTTAGCTTCCCACTGATATCAGGACAGCGGAGAGTTTACACATCTTGAAAAAAAACCTGTTTCGCTGACAATGGTCTTGTTTGTTGAAATTCTTGTTGTTGTCCTGAGTTTGAGTCTTTAGGGTTTATTGTTTGTTTAGAAGAATCAGAATCAGGTTTATCACCATGTTGACACGTACGAGGAATTTGACTTGATGTCGTGGTGTATAATTAAGACAAACATTAAAAACACAGGTAGAGAACTGTTTTTAGAAAACTTTAAAACAAATTATTACAAAAATAGCAAAATAAAATATAGCAGTATTTACATTGAAATAGAATACAATGTAAAATATGTGCAGTAAAAGAAAACAGATATTGTCAACATTGTGTGCATTAATGTAATGCATAGTCTGCTTTGTGCCTGAGGTCAAGTTTAAGTAAATATAACAGCTGTTGTTGTTGTTGTCCTGAGTTTCAGTCTTTATGGTGTACACACACACACACACACACACACACACACACACACACACACACACACACACACACACACACACACACACACACACACACACACACACACACACACACACACACACACACACACACACACACACACACACACACACACACACACACACACCACACACACACACACACACACACACACACACACACACACACACACACACACACACACACACACACACACACACACACACACACACACACACACAGCAGCAGCTCCCACATAACTGGAACCCTGGCTAAATGTAATGTAAAGTATGTCTTTGAATGCTCTTCTTATTCTCTCTCCTTCTCTCCTCTCATGTGTTCCCCTGTGGCGCCCCCCAGTGGGCAGTGTGTGTTTCTACGGCCAGTGTTCGTACTACTGCTCCACGGAGCACGCAGTGTGTGGTCGGCCCCGCCTGATGGAGGCCTCTCTGGGGGTCATGCTGCCCGACCTCTCCCTGGCCCCCCGCCGCACCTGGAGGTCCCCCTGGAGACGCTCCTACAGCCGCAGCAAGAGGGCCAAGTAATCATTATAATAATAATAATTCATTACATTTTCTTTGTAGGTCCTTTCTGTCTCTTTGGGGTCATTTTCAATACTTTTTTAGCCAACTGGAGTCCCTTAAGATTCAAGATTCAAGGCTTTATTATCATGTGCACATTAGCAGAGATGGCAAAAGTACACACGTCCTTTACTCAAGCAGAAGTACAGATATCTTGGTTGGTGATTGGCTAATGGTTACACAAGACACAACATCGTTATGACATCACAAAGTGGCCAACATTTGAACAAATGGAAATAGGGCAAGAAGAGTCTACAAGTAAATGGAATATGATATGTTAGATAAATAATTAGCAAACAGATGAATGCTTTTGTAAATGTCCTTTTGCAGCACCATATCTCCTCCCCTAAACCTTAAAGCCCAAATATGAGACCAAATAAGGGTTTCAAATGGATCAAAAATAAGATGTCATTCTGGCATCTGAATTATGTGTGTTGCAGAAAATGAGACTTGGTAAAGTAAGGGTTTATTTTTCAGTTAAATGAAATAGAAAACACTTTGACTGACGAGATCAAGGCCTTTTTTCATGCATTACAGTGGTATATATACACAATGAATGTAGTGTTGAGTTAATTGATGTGTGTTCAGGTGGGAGACAGACCCAGATTACTGCTCCTCAGTGAAAAAGACCCCTCCATATAACAAAGGCACGAGGCTGCTGGACTTCATGGATATGGTGATTCTGGACTTCCTGATGAGTACGTAGCGATCAGAGCATTTTAAACGCCTTATTGGTGTTGGCTTCATATTAAATCACATATTAAATTCTATGGACAAAACCTTTAAAATATGAAAAATGTTAAAATGTATGTTTGTGCCTCAGAAAATACTCAAACTACGCTTTGACCTCTAAGAGTTTTTACCCAGGAAGTTTAGGAAACACTTTGAGGAGTTCCTGCACTGCTCTGATTTCAGTTGAACTGGATTTTCCTGTGGTTTTACCGGCTCTTACCGACTCTCACTGACTCTTACCGGCTCTTACCGGACAAATAAACTCCAGTAAATCGAATATTATTAGCAGTTTGAAAACCCCGTGACGTTCGCTTACTTCTGGAGTTAACTGACAGTTACCATGGCAACGCGCCGTCTCCATGGCTACTCCCTGACGGCAGACGACAGGTAAGAAAGTCTGAAGATAGTTTGTTGTCCTCCTCCTGTTAGCTAGAGAGCTGATTTAAAGTACTTTTTTTAACTTTAGAAACGCCACTAAGTGTTTTCTTACCACCGTGGAGATGTTACCTGGAGTTCAGCCGTGTTTAAACAGCAGGTGAGAAACAGTGAGAGAGAGAGTAACGGCTCTGATTCACTGCTGCTAGGAGAGCTAGCTGGTGTTAGCTACCACAAAGTGTTAGCTAACTTTATTTATTCATTTTAAATACAATGTAGTTGAAGTGGAATATTTAAGTGAGACGTCCTCATTTTGCTGTGAAATGTATTTAAAGTTCTTGAAGTAAATGTAGTTGTAAAAGTATTGGCTGTACAGTAATATGTAGTGAAAGTACTTAAGGTATAGTATTCATGGTGTAGTCAAATATAGTCAAAGTACTTGAAGTGTATTGGCTGTACAGTAATATGTAGTGAAAGTACTTAAGGTATAGTATTCATTGTGTAGTCAAAGTACTTGAAGTGTATGGCTGTACAGTAATATGTAGTGAAAGTACTTAAGGTATAGTATTCATTGTGTAGTCAAAGTATTTGAAGTGTATTGGCTGTACAGTAATATGTAGTGAAAGTACTTAAGGTATAGTATTCATTGTGTAGTCAAAGTACTTGAAGTGTACTGGCTGTACAGTAATATGTAGTGAAAGTACTTAAGGTATAGTATTCATTGTGTAGTCAAAGTACTTGAAGTGTATTGGCTGTACAGTAATATGTAGTGAAAGTACTTAAGGTATAGTATTCATTGTGTAGTCAAAGTACTTGAAGTGTACTGGCTGTACAGTAATATGTAGTGAAAGTACTTAAGGTATAGTATTCATTGTGTAGTCAAAGTACTTGAAGTGTATTGGCTGTACAGTAATATGTAGTGAAAGTACTTAAGGTATAGTATTCATTGTGTAGTCAAAGTACTTGAAGTGTACTGGCTGTACAGTAATATGGAAAGTACTTAAGGTATAGTATTCATTGTGTAGTCAAAGTATTTGAAGTGTACTGGCTGTACAGTAATATGTAGTGAAAGTACTTAAGGTATAGTATTCATTGTGTAGTCAAAGTATTTGAAGTGTACTGGCTGTACAGTAATATGTAGTGAAAGTACTTAAGGTATAGTATTCATTGTGTAGTCAAAGTACTTGAAGTGTACTGGCTGTACAGTAATATGGAAAGTACTTAAGGTATAGTATTCATTGTGTAGTCAAAGTACTCTTTGTGCAGTGAAAAAGGCACCAATGTGGTTATATGTTCAGCATTTGATAGACCTGATTTATCCCAAGGGTTTGTTAAAGCAGCATTTTGATAGAATGCTTTTTTAGACCACAAATCATTTATCATTGAGTTTTGATGCTATTTAATTGAATAATTGTTGGTTACAGTAAAGAACTTGTTCTATGTAGACAAAGCTAACTTAATGTAAATCTGTATGTCTATGTGGTTTGTGGCTTGTTAACATGACACAGGATAGTTCCTACATGCAAATGATTCACGCTTCATGCATTTCCCTTTTTTGATTTGTCTTTCAGATATACCAGCGTAAATGTAGACCTCCAACACACCGTTTGTATTAGCTAACCTCCTGATGGTGTTCACAGAGAGGTGAGCAGCATGTTAGCTAACTCAGAGAAGAGATCCCCGGATGGAGCCTCTCAAAGCAAACACATCTCCAGGTCTGGATCCAGGGTGAAGAAGGGGACTCTTCTTCCTCCTCTCTCCCCTGAACCCCCTCCTCTCTCAGTGCCCAGGCCTCTCTTCAGCCTCCCCCCTCTCCCCTCTGACAGACCTCTCTCTGTGATGGATCTCCCTCGCCTCATCGCACAGGTCGGACCTCAGAGAGCCAGAGGGGACACAAAGTGGAGCGAAGGACCCCGAATGATGGCCTCAGCGCTGGGGGCCGACATCCCCATCAGAACTCCTGATGAGAGCACAGCACACAGGTACTTGAAAACATATTGGGTATGAGTGTCTTTACTTCAAATCTGTGAGAGGCAAGTCAAAATAATAATTCTGGTGATCTGAATTTTGAGTCTGATTTGTAGTTTTCTCAGAATCAGGTTTATAGCCAGGAACATATACAAGCAATTATGTAGGATAACGATAACAAATAGAAAGGTTATAACAAGCAAATATTTTATAACAATTTCACATTAATCAAAAGAAGAAACATAACAAAAAGTAGTGCAGTGAATATATGACGACGTACAGTATCATTTATTTTAAAGTGGAGGGCTGTGGAGAAATGTGCAATATTCAAAATGATCACCAAATGTTTTTCTCACTTTCCTCCCAGAGCTTCGACAGATTCTTTATTTATCTAATGTTACATATTTTGCTGATTTATTTTATAGATACAATACTTTTATCACACCAATAATGACGGTATGTAATTGGACAAAGTGTGTCATGGCCTTCGACACACTGCGTTACACTCTGTTTTATTGTCTCAGTCTCACAGAGAAAGCTGAATCAACCAAAGTCCCAACATGTAGGGGTAAAAAGATAAAGGCTGTGAAGAATGAGAAACCAGCTCCAGATCCTCTCAGCGGCACAGAGGTGTTTCAAATGTTCACCGAGAGGAGAGGCAGACGAGAGCTGGAGCTGTTCTACCTGAAGGAAGTGGAGGGAGACTCTTACAGGTCAACCCAAGCAGATATCTCACACGTTTGTATAGAAATCCTATAGAGATGTGAACATGTGATAGAGCCAGGTTCATATTCATGTTGTTGACATATTAGTCAAAGGTTTCCACAGAGGAAGTCTCTTCGTGTCCCTGCATACTTTAGAAACATCTGCCATAAGAAGCCATTTCCTGCATGTTTGTAGTTATAAAGAGTGTCTAAATAATAAGCATTGAGATCGAGGCTTTTAGATTGTAGTAAAGTGAGACAGTAACAACATGTGTGTCAGAGTTCCTGTTAGAATATTTTTTCGCCGGCCAACATGTTCGTTAAAGTTTAAATCTTCCGGAGAAAATGAGAAAAGTGCCGGTCAAAGGTCTTCTTTGCTATTTATTGAGCTTTAAAACAAATTGATATGATTCGATATTAAACAAACTAATAATAGTAGATTAACTACATTATTCAAAAGTGAACAGTAACTTACAATAACACGGGAATAATAAACGGAGCGCTCTCCCTCTCCTGACAGCCCGTCAGTATCATGCAGCTCGCGGATCAGTAATGAGTGACCCGACAGTCAAACTAAACATATCTATAACTAGTTACGGTAGTTTGAGAGGTCACTAAAATAGCTACGTGTGATATTCTAACCTGAAGTGTGTGTTTTGTCCGCTCACCGCTGCATGTGATCATGCAGAGCTGCGTGTCGACTCGTCAGCAGCAGCTGATCTCTCTCTCCCATCAGATTAGACTTCACTCGCGTTTATGTCCATATCGATCAGACCCAGCTAGTTCTAGCTAATGATATGACTACCTGCTTATTAAAAGACACCTAAACAATAAGCGTCGCTATGCAACCGGGTGAGGCCACAAAGTATAGCGCAGCATTATGCATTTGTTTACATGCCCACCGGAACCCCGAGGCATTACCAACAGATCAACGCACAATCAACCCATCCAGGACATCTCTTTCTCCACATTAAGTGTTAGACATTAGAGTTGACTATTCTCATCCGTCACATAATCATTTGTGTCACTTAAGTGGCGCAACTGATGCGGTGCTAAAGGGAAATTATGTTGACCGGAGAGATTTGGATTTGCCGGTCTTCAGCATATTTTACTGGTCATACTGTGATGTGGGGTTAATACAATGTCAGAAAAAAGTTAAACAATCTGGAATTTTTACGTCTTCAAATGTCTTCTTTTGTCCAACCCACAATCCAAATCTCACAGATATTTGTTCAACTTTAATCGGCACATTGAAGAAGCTGAAACCAGTGATTTTTGAAATTTTAAAGGGGACCTATCATGCAAAAGTCACTTTTTGATGTCTCTCTACATCAACATGTGTCCCCGGTGCGTCGGGAAACTCACGCAGCATCAGCAAATAAAACCCTCTCTCTTTTCCTCCGTAAACAAATCTCTAAAAACGGGGGAACAACGGAGTTGATCCAGATTTGAGTCCGATATGACGTAATATCTGAAATGTGGACCCACGGCCCAATCAGAAAGTTGCTATCAGAAGAGGATATAGACACACAAACAGACAAAGAGAGTGGAATAAACTCCTGGATGTGGATTTGAGGGGTTTTCTCAGTGGAAGCTAAACAGCCCAAAACCTCTACATGTAACTGATGTTTCTTGCCTTTAAACTATGAATACATATGAATGTTTCCTCCTTCTTTAGACCCTACGACCTGCGGGTGGTGCCCTGCAGTGCAGCGGGATCTGAACACTACATCTTCTCTCCTCACTCTGTTCTCCATGTGACACAAAGAGGATATGGAGGTTTGCTCAGTCTGTCAGAGTGGTTCAGAGAGTCAGTTCTGTGGAGGGATCTGCAGGAAATCCCCTTCTTCAGAGACTTCCCACTGAGGAGAGCTTTCACCAGGTCAGAGCACTCTTTAAAGTAGAGACTCTACGTACTGATATACACCTGAACATCAGCAGGAGAGGACTCTTTAAAGTAGAGACACTACATACTGATATACACCTGAACATCATCAGGAGAGGACTCTTTAAAGTAGAGACATTACATACTGATATACACCTGAGCATCAGCAGGAGAGGACTCTTTAAAGTAGAGACACTACATACTGATATACACCTGAACATCAGCAGGAGAGGACTCTTTAAATTAGAGACACTACATACTGATATACACCTGAGCATCAGCAGGAGAGGACTCTTTAAAGTAGAGACACTACATACTGATATACACCTGAACATCAGCAGGAGAGGACTCTTTAAAGTAGAGACACTACATACTGATATACACCTGAACATCAGCAGGAGAGGACTCTTTAAAGTAGAGACACTACATACTGATATACACCTGAACATCAGCAGGAGAGGACTCTTTAAAGTAGAGACACTACATACTGATATACACCTGAACATCAGCAGGAGAGGACTCTTTAAAGTAGAGACACTACATACTGATATACACCTGAACATCAGCAGGAGAGGACTCTTTAAAGTAGAGACACTACATACTGATATATACCTGAACATCAGCAGGAGAGGACTCTTTAAAGTAGAGACACTACATACTGATATACACCTGAACATCAGCAGGAGAGGACTCTTTAAAGTAGAGACACTACATACTGATATACACCTGAGCATCAGCAGGAGAGGACTCTTTAAAGTAGAGACACTACATACTGATATACACCTGAACATCAGCAGGAGAGGACTCTTTAAAGTAGAGACACTACATACTGATATACACCTGAACATCAGCAGGAGAGGACTCTTTAAAGTAGAGACACTACATACTGATATACACCTGAACATCAGCAGGAGAGGACTCTTTAAAGTAGAGACACTACATACTGATATATACCTGAACATCAGCAGGAGAGGACTCTTTAAAGTAGAGACACTACATACTGATATACACCTGAACATCAGCAGGAGAGGACTCTTTAAAGTAGAGACACTACATACTGATATACACCTGAACATCAGCAGGAGAGGACTCTTTAAAGTAGAGAATCTACATACTGATATACACCTGAACATCAGCAGGAGAGGACTCTTTAAAGTAGAGAATCTACATACTGATATACACCTGAACATCAGCAGGAGAGGACTCTTTAAAGTAGAGACACTACGTACTGATATACACCTGAACATCAGCAGGAGAGGACTCTTTAAAGTAGAGACACTACGTACTGATATACACCTGAACATCAGCAGGAGAGGACTCTTTAAAGTAGAGACACTACATACTGATATACACCTGAACATCAGCAGGAGAGGACTCTTTAAAGTAGAGACACTACATACTGATATACATCTGAACATCAGCAGGAGAGGACTCTTTAAAGTAGAGACACTACATACTTATATACACCTGAACATCAGCAGGAGAGAACTCTTTAAAGTAGAGACACTACATACTGATATACACCTGAACATCAGCAGGAGAGGACTCTTTAAAGTAGAGACACTACATACTGATATACACCTGGACATCAGCAGGAGAGGACTCTTTAAAGTAGAGACACTACATACTGATATACACCTGAACATCAGCAGGAGAGGACTCTTTAAAGTAGAGACACTACATACTGATATACACCTGAACATCAGCAGGAGAGGACTCTTTAAAGTAGAGACACTACATACTGATATACACCTGAACATCAGCAGGAGAGGACTCTTTAAAGTAGAGACACTACATACTGATATACACCTGAACATCAGCAGGAGAGGGCTCTTTAAAGTAGAGACACTACATACTGATATATACCTGAACATCAGCGGGAGAGGACTCTTTAAAGTAGAGACACTACATACTGATATACACCTGAACATCAGCAGGAGAGGACTCTTTAAAGTAGAGACACTACATACTGATATACACCTGAACATCAGCGGGAGAGGACTCTTTAAAGTAGAGACACTACATACTGATATACACCTGAACATCAGCAGGAGAGGACTCTTTAAAGTAGAGACACTACATACTGATATACACCTGAACATCAGCGGGAGAGGACTCTTTAAAGTAGAGACACTACATACTGATATACACCTGAACATCAGCAGAAGAGGACTCTTTAAAGTAGAGACACTACATACTGATATACACCTGAACATCAGCAGGAGAGGACTCTTTAAAGTAGAGACACTACATACTGATATACACCTGAACATCAGCGGGAGAGGACTCTTTAAAGTAGAGACACTACATACTGATATATACCTGAACATCAGCGGGAGAGGACTCTTTAAAGTAGAGACACTACATACTGATATACACCTGAACATCAGCAGGAGAGGACTCTTTAAAGTAGAGACACTACATACTGATATACACCTGAACATCAGCGGGAGAGGACTCTTTAAAGTAGAGACACTACATACTGATATACACCTGAACATCAGCAGGAGAGGACTCTTTAAAGTAGAGACACTACATACTGATATACACCTGAACATCAGCAGGAGAGGACTCTTTAAAGTAGAGACACTACATACTGATATACACCTGAACATCAGCGGGAGAGGACTCTTTAAAGTAGAGACACTACATACTGATATACACCTGAACATCAGCAGGAGAGGACTCTTTAAAGTAGAGACACTACATACTGATATACACCTGAACATCAGCAGGAGAGGACTCTTTAAAGTAGAGACACTACATACTGATATACACCTGAACATCAGCAGGAGAGGACTCTTTAAAGTAGAGACACTACATACTGATATACACCTGAACGTCAACCGTCGAGGACTCTTTAAAGTAGAGACACTACTTACTGATATACACCTGAACGTCAACCGTAGAGGACTCTTTAAAGTAGAGACACTACATACTGATATACACCTGAACATCAGCAGGAGAGGACTCTTTAAAGTAGAGACACTACATACTGATATACACCTGAACATCAGCAGGAGAGGACTCTTTAAAGTAGAGAATCTACATACTGATATACACCTGAACATCAGCAGGAGAGGACTCTTTAAAGTAGAGACACTACATACTGATATACACCTGAACATCAGCAGGAGAGGACTCTTTAAAGTAGAGACACTACATACTGATATACACCTGAACATCAGCAGGAGAGGACTCTTTAAAGTAGAGAATCTACATACTGATATACACCTGAACATCAGCAGTAGAGGACTCTTTAAAGTAGAGACACTACATACTGATATACACCTGAACATCAGCAGTAGAGGACTCTTTAAAGTAGAGACACTACGCTTCTTTTGCAGGTGGCGGAGAAATGTCCATAAAGTCATCTTTCAGCGCAGGTGTAAGGATCTTCAAGATGTTCTGCTTATCGCTGTGCCTCAGTTCAGAAATGCTCTTCTTCTGTTCAACAGGTGAGTCACACTGCGTGCAGACCAATACATAACTAATAAGAAAAACGTTCTGTTTTAAGTGCATCAATACTGGACGTGATAAGCTTTAACAGTGGTTGTTCAGATCAGCTGGTAATGACACTAAATGTTCTCCAGAACCATTGAGGAGGTGAAAGGGACCCACTGGCTGCCTCAGGAGGAGAATACATCTTTCACTTTGCTGGAATTTAAGGATGTTCTGATGACCATGAATCAGGAGTGTCTGCAGATATTAGAGAAGTTATCACAGTACCGTGCTGCCATCCTAAATAAGGTAGGAACAAGTGGATTCAAAATCTAACAGCTTTGATAGCTGACAATAGTTTATAATCTATCAAGTCTGGCAGCAGCTTGATGTTATATGCACCAGATCAAGTTCTGCTTCATACAGCTGGTTGTGCTTTGAAAGATCAGCTGCAGTTAAGAATTGTGGAAATCAGACTTTTTCTTATAATTTTGACTTATTTTCAGAATTATGACTTTTTTTCTTAAAGTTTTGACTTTTTCATAAAATGTTGACATTTTCTTCGAATTTTTACTTTTTCCCATAATTTTTACTTTTTTGTCAGAAATCTGACGTTTTCTTCGAATTTTTACATTTTTCAGAATATCTCTGAAATGAAACTTTATTATTAAAATGTAACCTGTATTTCACTGTGTATCCACCCTTTCAACAGCTCTAATTCCCTAAATTGTATATACAAGTACTTTGCAAACGTATAATGTACGATGTTAACATCTCATTAGTAGTAGGTAACTAACATGGTGTAATCTGACTTCAATTATATTGTGTATTTTATACAAATACTCTTTAGACATATCTTTCAAAGTTTATATACATACAGTATATATATATATTTACGGTCATGTGCAATGCCTTGTTATTTTTTATTTAAATTTTGTACAGGCTAAAGACACAAACATGGACATAACAATACCTTATAAGAGATGACATACCCATCTCAGACAAAAACAAAACAACAAAAACAGAATGAATAAAGATACAGTCAGGGGGATCACTTCAACATTTCACAAACAAAAGTAGGTTGACAACCAAAAGCCACCAAAAACACAACATGGCATATTTATTGTTCCTTTAATCCCACTCTTCGTTAGAGCTCATTATTTCACATTTCATGGCGTGTTGAGCCTTTGATTTATTTTTTATCTACTCTTCAAACTCTTCGAATATTAAAGAGTGTAAATGTAAATTCAATATTGAGTGTCTTCAGCCAATTTCGAATCTTTGACCACAGACTTGAAACATATGGACAATAACAAAATAAATGCATCTGAGGCCTGTACGACGAAGCCGGTTCAACCTAACCTGGATATGTTTGAGTTAGCCGGTTGGCCTAATCCAAAACATACGCGCTCTCGCTAAACTGTACTACGACGCTGGTTATCAAGTGGATCGCTCAAGCCAGCCGTGTCCTATCTAGTTAGGTGTTCACATGAGAGGGGTGGTATCTGGAGCATTCGACCAATCACAAACATGGAGAAGCGCACTGACAGCGCAGCGTCATACTTCCTGACTTCCTGTCAACTATAATATTATAGTAATAGACGGGCCGTAACGTAACGGACGCACCTGCCTTTTACTTTTTCCTGCGGAGGGCCGAGTCCCGTTCAACTCACTAGCAACACAGAGTGGGCTTCGCTCGTGTGGAGGCTACTGCCAACTGTCATCGCCGGCGCCGAGCCCTGGGCCAGTAGTCCGGGCCCCGTCTATCCAGGACGGGTTTCCATCGGCGGATCGGGTAGGCCTATGCTTACCTGCTGAGTGGATCTTGCCCGCTCTTCCCCTCTGACTATTACGATGGCGTATTTTCCTGTGTTCCTCTGCCTTGTCGTGGCATGGAGTTTTAGCGGCTATGCTATCGGCAACCCAGACTCTTTACGCCCGCGGCTGGTTACCGCAGATGGTGTGACATCCACACGGGGCCATGAACATAATGTGTCGCATGTGATTCGTTTTGGAATTGTTTCTCATTGGAATTACTGCCCCTGGGTTCGCGAGATCTGTTGTTTTCCTGGGGCCTTCACCGTGGGAAACCCTACAGATGCCCTTTGCCAGTATTCTTCTTCTAACTCTTCTAGTCTCCCGACTATAACGAAATTTAAGCAGAAGTGCTTAATCATGTTGCTTCTACTTCTGTCTGGTATTCAGCCTAATCCTGGTCCTTTAATGGCATGTAATACCCCAACGGACTTTAAGAACTTGTCTGGGTTACACATCATCCATGTAAATGCTCGCAGCCTGCTTCCCAAAATGGATATGTTGCGAATTTGGTCAGAGTCAACTGGAGCTGATCTAATTATTGTTTCTGAGACTTGGCTTTCAAAGAAAATATTGGATAAAGATGTCGGAATTGACGGCTTCAATATTTATCGTTCGGACCGCCCCAGGAAAGGTGGTGGCGTGGCGATTTACGTAAAACATAATCTTGCTGCACAGGTCATCTTCTCCAAATCTGCTGTTAAGCAGTTTGAAATCTTAGCACTAAAGATTGATTTATCTGGTGGTCAGTTTTTAACTGTTGTTGGTTGCTATAGGCCCCCTTCTGCTACAAACGACACATTATCCTCGCTAATGCAGCTTTTATCTCAACTACAGTTTAAGGAAATCATCCTGGTAGGTGATTTTAACTGGGACTGGCTTTCACCAGTGTCTGATGATTTTAAAATGCATTGTATGTCGCTAAATTGTACACAATTAATTCAAAGTCCTACTCGTCTTAACACCAGGTGTCTAAATAAATCATCTCTTATCGATCTTTTAATTACTAATCAATCCCATAAATATACTGCAACCGGGGTCTTTGCTAATGACCTAAGTGATCATTGTCTAGTTGGTGCTATTAGGGATACCAAAATCCCCCGTACCAAACCCTGTGTTGTTCTGAAAAGAAATGTTAAGCACTTTATAGAGCAAGCCTTTCTTCATGACTTAGTTCATTTAAAATGGGATCGTATTTTATTGATTGGTGATGTTGACCATGCTTGGAAGTATTTTTATGACAGTTTTAGTTATTTTTTAGATAAACATGTTCCGTTTCGCCGGTTCAGGGTGAAGGGCCGTGATAACCCCTGGTCCACTTCTGATCTGGCAGCCCTCTTACGCAAGAGGAATCTCCTTTGGGCTGCTGCGAGGAAGACAGGTTCTGAGGCTGACTGGCTTCTTTTTCGTCAACTGCGTAATCGCTGTACTGCTTCCATTAAAAAAGCTAAAAGCGATGTTTACTTATCCCAGACCACAGACAGTTTAAACGATCCTAGGAGATTTTGGCATACCATAAAATCCCTCTCTGCCAGCTCTCGCTCCTTAGAGCTGCCTCCTAACATTGTTGTTGACTCCACCCCTGTGTCAAATAAGACAGAGATGCTTAATTGTTTTAATAAACATTTGATTGCCTCCAGTTCCTTGTTTGACACATTATCTTTTGGTAAATCATCTCCCTCCATCACCACCAGTCATGCCACTAGTAGCCACACTTTCTCCTTCAACCCCTTCAATGTTGGGGAGGTTTGTAAGGCTCTAAAGGGCCTAGACCCCAAAAAATCAGCAGGTCCGGACGATCTCCCCCCTTATTTCTTACGGCTAGCTGCAGATATTATAGCCAAACCACTTTGTCATGTTTTTAATCTTTCTATAACAAGCAATGTCATTCCAGATGTTTGGAAAACTGCAAATGTTCTCCCCTTATTGAAAGGTGGTGATCCCATGGTGATGAATAATTACAGACCAATTTCCAAGCTCTCTATTTTAGCTAAAGTACTTGAAAGGCTGGTGAATGATCAAATCAAAGAATATTTAAGCTTGAACAACATTCTATCTCCTCACCAGTCGGGCTTTAGGAAGCAGCACAGTACAGTAACGGCTGCTTTGAAAGTAGTGAATGACATTGTTGAAGGCTTGGACGCAAAGAGCTACTGTGCTGCCCTTTTTATAGACTTATCCAAGGCATTTGATACTGTGGACCATGGCATTCTGTGCCAGAAGCTATCCCATATAGGCCTGTCTGACCAAGCTGTTGGTTGGTTTGCAAACTATCTTTCAAATCGCAAGCAATGTGTAAAATTCAGCGGTCTCTCCTCAAGCTTTCTTAATGTGCCCAGAGGCGTTCCTCAAGGTTCGGTCTTGGGACCGACCCTTTTTACTATTTATATAAATGATGTGGGTCAAAGTATGGATGCGTCTGTACATCTATATGCAGATGATACTGTTGTGTACTGTTGTGCTAGCACTGTTGCCCTTGCATTTGAACGTCTGCAGTCTGCTTTTGACACTTTTCAGTCACATCTGTTCCACCTTAGGTTGGTGTTAAATTCAGATAAGACAAAAGTCATGTTGTTTTCCAATAAGAAAAAGTTACCAACTGTTCTTCCCTGCATCATGTCTGCACAGCATAACCCCATTGAAGCTGTTAACACCTACAGATACTTAGGCATCACCATAGATGAAAATCTCTGCTTCAAACCACACATTGACAATCTTTTAAGGAAATTGAAATTAAAGCTGGGATTCCTTTTTAGAAATAAGGCCTGCTTCTCCACAAGTGCGAGGAAACGGCTTGTAGCTGCCACATTTTTGCCGCTCTTGGACTACGGGGATGTTGTGTACATGAACGCCTCAGCTCACTCCCTTCATCTGCTGGACGCTGTTTACCATGGGGCTCTGAGGTTCATAGCCAACTGTAAACCCCTCACACACCACTGCACGCTGTACGCTTTAGTCAACTGGACATCACTATCAATGCGCAGGTCACTGCACTGGTTCAAACTCATCTATACCGCTATGCTTGGACTGCTGCCCCTCTACATATCCACTTACATATCACACAAACAGTACAGCTATAGACTAAGATCTCAACATTACATCACTCTGTCCGTCCCCTCAGTACGCACGGTGCTTGGGGAAAAAGCCATATCGTACTCTGCCCCCTCGACCTGGAACACACTTCAGCAGGAACTTAAGCTGACCACTTTGATACCCATCACGGATTTTAAACTTATTTTAAAAAAGCTGGAGAAATCATCTGTGGGTGTTTGCACCTGCTATATCTGACCGTATGGATTTTAATGACTACTTTTTTACGATGTTGTATTTTAGTGTTGCCTCTGTGTTTAGTGTCCTGTCTGTCTGTAACTTTGTGTGGTAGTGTTACCACTGACAGGTCTCTCTTGAAAATGAGATCTTGTGTCTCAATGAGATCTACACCTGTATAAATAAAGGCTAAATAAATATTAGACATATGAAGAAGTTAAACTTTGAACATCCATGACTTAAACACTTGATCCAGGATCAAAGCCACAGAGCTGCACCTGCAAGGTGAACACAGCTGGGAACAGAACAAGTGTTTGAATGCGTACATTAACAGCTTTATGATATCACTGCCGTCTAAGACACCATCTGACTTTCATTACATTTGACTCCAGTGTTTCCTCAACTTAATGTGTTGCTTAAAATAATACTTCTGCATCCAGTCTGTGACGCTGTGAGTGTTGCACGGCCAGATACGGCTCAGCTGACTCAGATCAGGAGATGATACATTATGAAGTGATATGAATGAAAATGGGACACATCAACGTCTGCACTCACAGTGCCGCGGACTGTACGTAATGTTACTTTGATCCGGTTACTTATGTTGTGGCAGATATTTCAGTAAGCTTTCTTAACATAATAGTATAATAATGTTATAATAGTCAGATTGCTCTGAAGATGGAGGTGATATTCTATTCATTTTCGCGTTCACACAGTCGGTGATTTTGGCCGGCCGTCTTTCCTGCAACGGCACTTTAAACTGTATTTCCTCCGCACACTGAGCTCTGATTGGTCAGCAGGCGGTGCTTTCACTGAGTTGATCTGGAACCTATCCTGCTCCGGAGCAGGCTAGGTTCCAGCATAAGTTATCTAACCCGCTAAAAAGTGAACCAGCTTCGTAGGACCTGAAATCCCTGAAGTTAGCTTGCTAAACGAAAATCCTGATTCGTAGTATAGGCCCCAGGTTAGCCGCACAGCATAAGTTACCATGGAGATCTAGCCCGCTAAAAAGAGAACCAGCGCCGTAGGACCGGAAACTCAGAGTTTACCCTGAAGTTAGCCCGCTAAGCGAAAATCCGGCTTCGTAGTACAGGCCTCTGGTGAGGGAGGATCTAATCTAACTTGTTTCTCCCTGCAGGTGAAGGAGGATCTAATCTAACTTGTTTCTTCCTGCAGGTGAAGGAGGATCTAATCTAACTTGTTTATCCCTGCAGGTGAAGGAGGATCTAATTTAACTTGTTTCTCCCTGCAGGTGAAGGAGGATCTAATCTAACTTGTTTATCCCTGCAGGTGAAGGAGGATCTAATCTAACTTGTTTCTTCCTGCAGGTGAAGGAGGATCTAATCTAACTTGTTTCTCCCTGCAGGTGAAGGAGGATCTAATCTAACTTGTTTCTCCCTGCAGGTGAAGGAGGATCTAATCTAACTTGTTTCTTCCTGCAGGTGAAGGAGGATCTAATCTAACTTGTTTATCCCTGCAGGTGAAGGAGGATCTAATTTAACTTGTTTCTCCCTGCAGGTGAAGGAGGATCTAATCTAACTTGTTTATCCCTGCAGGTGAAGGAGGATCTAATCTAACTTGTTTCTTCCTGCAGGTGAAGGAGGATCTAATCTAACTTGTTTCTCCCTGCAGGTGAAGGAGGATCTAATCTAACTTGTTTCTCCCTGCAGGTGAAGGAGGATCTAATCTAACTTGTTTTCTTCCTGCAGGTGAAGGAGGATCTAATCTAACTTGTTTATCCCTGCAGGTGAAGGAGGATCTAATTTAACTTGTTTCTCCCTGCAGGTGAAGGAGGATCTAATCTAACTTGTTTATCCCTGCAGGTGAAGGAGGATCTAATCTAACTTGTTTCTTCCTGCAGGTGAAGGAGGATCTAATCTAACTTGTTTATCCCTGCAGGTGAAGGAGGATCTAATCTAACTTGTTTCTTCCTGCAGGTGAAGGAGGATCTAATCTAACTTGTTTCTCCCTGCAGGTGATCTAACTTGTTTCTTCCTGCAGGTGAAGGAGGATCTAATCTAACTTGTTTCTCCCTGCAGGTGAAGGAGCACAGCTACAGGACTCAGCAGGAGCTGCAGCTGCACCTGGAGTTCAGCCTGAAGCCGAGCAGAAGCGTTGAGCCGCTGCACCGCCAGCTGCTCCACCAGCAGCAGCTTCTCTCACAGCTCAGCAGGTCTGAGAGCGTCCTGCAGAGGCTGGGCAGCTTCTCTGCTCTCATCAACACCATCACCGTGCAGAGCATCATCTCTCTCATCACTCAGGACCTCACTCAGTTCACCAGCAGAGTCCTGAAGGTGAGAGGGGGGCTGCATTAACCGCTCTTACTGAATTACAAATGAATAACTTTGTCACTTTTCAGCTTTCACCAGCAAATGATATATACAACACGTTTTATTACTATGGAATCATGAAGAAAGCATCAGAAAGACTACATATTTCAATTCAAGGCTTTATTGTCATTTATTCAGTAGCTACAGTGTAGATATGTCCACAGTGCAACATATATACTATAGGACAAATAAAACAGATACACTAGTGCAAGGCAATAGAAATAAAATATAAATAGTGCAAGAAGAGTCTATATACAAGTACATGGAATATGATATATTAGATACATAATTTGAACAGATGAATGTTTATGGATGTTGTTTCAAACGTGCAGGTGTTTAATAGTCTTATTTCCTGTGTCATGAAACTGTCCCTGAGTCTGGTGGTTTTAGTTCTGATGCTGCGGTTCCGCCTGCCAGACGACAGCAGACGATGAATTTAATGAACATGTAATCATGTAATAAATGAAATGCTGTTTGTGTGTTTCTGTGTGTTAGAGAGGTGAACTTGAGGGCTGTTTGTTCCACACTGAGCTGAGTCTCAGGGATGATCAGCTGACGGTGGACCCCCCCACACATCTGCTGCAGGAAGCTGTGAGCGGAGCCATACTGACTGTAAAAGACTCAGTAATACAGGTAAATCACAGTGTGTGTTGTTAGAAATATAACTGCATTATCCATCCAGTGCAGCCGCATCAAAGAACCACTCCGTATGTCCTCTATAAAGGGATTTCAATCTTATATCAATTTTGACTTTTTCTTCGAATTTTGAATTCTTTTTCAGAAATCAGACTTTTTCTCATAATCTAATTTTTTTTCTCAGAATTTTGACTTTTTTCAGAATTTTAACTTTTCCTCAGAATTTGTATACATTATATGTTGAGTTGTGGGCACTGGATACATGTCATGTAAATGGATGTGTCTATGGGTCAAAAGTGAGAGCACAATATATTATCTCTCTTAAAATGTTTGCTTCTTCTTCTGTGGTAGATGTGTGATTCTTGTGGACTCTTCCTGGAGATCAGCAACACTTCTGATGTCTCTCAGGATTCACCCTCTGACCTCACATGTATTGAGCATCATATCACAGGTAGTAGCAGTGCAGTTTCTTCTAGTTTTTTTTATTTGACTGTTTGGATTTCACTTCATTTGACCCAAGCTGCAGTATTCATATAAAAAAGTGACTTAACCCCACCCATCGTCTCTAGTTCCTGTTGCTGCATGCATGCATGTGATTCTAAACATGTCTCCCTGTGTTGTGGTTCTCAGGGGAGGATACCAGCGGTGAAGAGTGTTGCTCCTGGAGGTTGCACAGAGAAGCGTCCTCTCGCTGGCTGCAGCTGCAGAAGCGAACCTCTCTGCTGCTGCAGGGCCGCCGGCTGCACGGCTGCTTCTCCCCCCTCACCCAGAGCCAGCTGCAGCAGCAGATCCACATCCACATCCTCACAACACAAGCTGAGGAGGAGCAGGCCGGCGTCATGCAGGCAAGACATTCTACTTTAATACTGACAAAATGTCTGTCATGTCAGAAATGTCAGAAGAGGTGGTGTCCAGCCTCTTGAGATGTCCTGTTTCCAAAGTGCTGATTCTCTGTCTGTTACTTTAGATGAAAATAAGCAGCCACGCCCCACGCCCCTCGCCCCTCAGAGAGATTTGGTTAAAAATAACACATTAGGCGCTTTCACACCGGAGTACTTTTCCCAGGAACTATCGGAACTATTCCTGGGAAAAGTACTCCGGTGTGAAAGCGCCTAACGGTGCTCTAGGAGGAGAGTCAGGGGGGGGCGGGGGGGTTACCTTGGTTGATTATTGGCTAATGCAGCGGTTCCCAACCTTCTTCAACTCAGGGCCCACTTAACAATCACATTTCATTTTGCGGCCCACATTCAACCATTAACAATACGGAGGCTACATAAAGTTCTGATTGGTCAATTCAGAACATGTGACACGTTGTCCAGTAGAACAGACCGCTGTCAAGGACTGAAATGACCGTTGCTAAGGAGGGTCAAGAAAGAGAAAGGAAAAGAGGTTAAAAGGAAAATAATAATAATAAAAACATCTATATTGATTCTGACTCTTCTACATCCAACTCACAGATGAGTTTTTAGAAGTGAAGACATGGTCATTTGTTCTGGGAATGTCATTCTCGAACCTGAGACCTGAAAACCAGGCTCAGGGCTGAACAGGTTAAGAGAGGTTTAGCGAAAAACAAACACTTCTGGGGTCATTTGGGTGCATTTTCCATATCTCTGGCCCCCTCAGTCGATTTTGATGATTGACATCTCTTTTGAACCGTTAGAGCCAATAGAATCGAGGGGAAGTTCCTAAAATCCATCCAAACATTACCCATTGGTGAATGAGTGCTGCGCAGCCAGAATGCCCAAATCGGAAGCTGTCATAGCAGCTATATATGAAAACTCCGTCATTGACATTCAAATGGAATGATGGATTATCAGTAATCATCTCAGACACATTGGATGACCCTTCAGCAGCGTTTTATAGTTGTAATGCCATTGAACACAACTTTTGATCAGAAACAGCAAAAGGTAAGACAAATTGGCCGTGTTTGCTCCGTGAAGCTACGTGGTGTGATGTCTGGGTTTGCTTCCCCTTTCGCGAGTTTTGATTGCTCAGTGATGATACTTATATATAATCTGTGGAATCTCAGTTTACTAATCAAATGTTTTCGCTCAGGGCTAATTCAGAGCCTTTGTTATTACCCTTGTCTTTTGTTTAGCCAAAAATGGTTAATATTGTCTGAAAGCTGAGTTTCTTCCCGTTAAGTGGATATGACACATTCATAGTTTATTAAATGTCAAGAAGCCCTCAGACGCTGTTTCTTGCAAGATGTTGCGTTTTGCCCCCGGTACCGGGGACATTGAAAACTGGGATGTTTTCATAATTTGTAACTATTTTCTGACCAAGAAAATCATCAAGAAGATTATTTGATTATAATTCATTACTTTAGTCAACTTTGATTGGTTTTAAATGTGCTTTAAAGAGTTGTTAGTTAACATGAACCTGTTGACTGGCTCATGGGTTCTCCTCTGTGTTCTGTGGACAGGAAGCAGACCTAGAGATCCAGCAGCTGTGTGAGAGCTTCTCCTGGTTGGTGGACATTCATGTGTTCATTAGTGAAAGGAGTGTTTCCTCTCTGGACTCCCTGAAGGATCAGCCTGCTTCACAGTACCAGGATCTGATAGAGAAGACCCGCTGCCTGACAGAAAGACTCTCCAGCGTCCCCTCCTCCGTCTCCACCTCCAACCAGCTGATCAACATCCAGTGCAGCCGCATCAAGGAGCCACTCCGTATGTCCTCTATAAAGGGATTTCACTCTCATAAAATACAGATTTATGTTCAAGAAGCTTTCCAAGAAAACATTACTCAGGCCATCAATTATTTTGACTTTTTTCTCAGAATTTTGACTTTTTCTTATAATTTAGAATTATTTTCAGAATTCAGATTTCTTTCTCAGAATTTAGATTTTTTTCAGAAATCTGACTTTTCCTTAGAATTTTCTCACATTTGGACTTTTCTCAGAATTATGACTTTTTCTTAACATTTTGAATTTCCCTCATAATTTTGATTTTTCTCACAATTTTGAATTTTTTTCCAAATCGTTACTTTTTCCAAAATCAGACTTTTTCTTAGAATTTTGTGCTGAAATCTGACTTTTTCTCATAATGTAATTTTTTTAACCTGAAATTTTAACTTTTTCTCAGAATTGTTACTTTTTCTGAAATCAGACTTTTTCTTAGAATTTTGACTTTTTTGCAGAAATCTGACTGTTTCTCAGAATTTTTTTATTTTTTCAGAGATCTGACTTTTCCTTAAATAGAATCAGAAACCAAGTTTATATCTTTGATGAAAGACTGAAATATTGGTAAATTATAGAACATTAACCATTTATAAGGACATGTGGTAAGATCTGACAGCTAATGGATGTATCAGTATTAATGCTGTATCCATTATGTATAAGCTATATCTTTTAAATGAATACCTTCTGTTTTTTTAAGAGCAACAGCTGAGGTTGCTAGAGGAGAAACTGCAGCAGCAGCTGGTGCAGCAGATCCAGATTCTCTCTGAAAACGTCTCATCAGACCTGCAGAGATATGCTGCTCGACTCAGGACAGAACCAGGAGACCTGCAGGAGCTCTCCACATATGCTCTCATGGTAGAAAACACCCTTTACTCTTACATAGTTCAAATAGATTTCCAGTCATGCAAAAGAGATGAAATATTCCAGGAAAATAGTTTGCCTAGTTCCACCTCTGCAGGGTTGGTAGAGCTTCAGATCCTCTGAGTCTCTTCTTTTAGTCACACTTTCATTGAATTATTCATCCCAAAAGGCTCTGTGTTTTTAAAGTGTTCTGAATTTAGATCCATCGTCAAAGAATGAACGGTATTCAGGTCTTTAAAATGGTATTTAAAGAAACACTAGTGCTTTCTTGTGTAACTGCAGGAGTTGAACTTTTGAGATGATGGGTTGTCAAACAGTTTTAAAATAAAGTATCACGTCAGAGTGAGAGTTTGTAGTTTGGTTATATTTCACCTTATCTTGACCCTCTCCTGTAGAGACTCGCATTCACCTCCACATGTCAACACTTGTCAAGGAATACTACATACTCTTTAGCATATTATTTTACCCACCTGATATTAGAGATTTGATGATTTCTGATTCCAAAACCAACACTTTGTTTTTGAGAACAACACTTTTCAAGGAGAAGGAAACTGATGTATTTTACCCAACATTATTTAATGGTCTAAGACAGGGGTGTCAAACTCAAGGCCCGGGGGCCAAATCCGGCCCGCAACTTGGGCCCCACTGCGGCCCCACAAGAGCTTGCAAAGAATATAATATGTTCATTATACGGTTACATGCTACTTTACAGAAGCATGTTGCCCATAAACTAAATGTCCCACAATGCATCTCAAATTTGACTTTTTTCTCAGAATTAGATTTTTTTTCTTTAAAATGTAACTTTTTTTTCAAAATGTCACTTTTTCTTGTTTTTCCAGAATTTGGCTTTTCTTTTAAAATCATATTGTGACATTCTCACTGAAAAGACTTGCAATTATTTGCCCTAGACTTCTGCTTTCAGACGTAGTTAATTATGAAGTTATTACCCTATCTGATAATAATCCAATGCAGAGGCAATCATGTAATATAATACATTATTTATATATATTACATATTTATATATGTATTTTAGTATAGTCTTAAAGTTACAACCGGCCCTTTGAGTGCAACCATTATGCTGATGTGGCCCGTGATGAAATTGAGTTTGACCCCCCTGATCTAAGAGATCTGAAAGTCACCAAGAACTGTAACTGTATAGCCTCTTCACCTTCAGATGGGTGTTAGAAAAGATATACTATATTATATTGCCATGTTATGTTTTGTGATACTGTAGCAACTTTTAATTCATATTTTACATGCAAATAATGACTCAGTCAATCCTTATGTATTGTGCGTTTGTGACATCTCAAAATATTGCAATGTTGTTAGTTGTAACTCTGATAAATTGCAAACATATTAAACATTTTCACTCAGATTTCATGCATATGGCGATTTCTTTGCCAACAATGTGACTGATTATTATACTGAGTTTGCTTCTGATCTGAAGGGTCGCCGGTTCAAGTCCCGACCAACTACAACCTTGCAACCTCTTCACTTTGGTGCCTCTATAAAAGTGCATGTGTATGTGTGTATACAACTACAGAGTGGGAAGCTTGGGGATTAACAAAGGGTCATCTTACAAAAAACATCCTCTAAATCACAGCCTTGCTTACAGTTATGCAATATATTTATTTATGTATAACCCCTGTATCATGATACTTATCACATCCTCAGATTTGTTTCCAATACACAGCCTTTCAAATTCAAGTTAAAAAAACTACAATGATGTCAAATGAATCTCCTATGCATGCCTTAATGCCAGGGGATTCACTGATTTAACATGCTGTAGTTTGTGAGGCAGGACAATCAATTAACATGACAACAAAAATGTTTTAATCTGGCTCATCATTTCAGATGAGGGAGTGTGTGAAGATGTGTCCTGACATGCAGAGACGTTTGGAGTACATTCACTCCCTCCAGGAAACTCTCTGCAAGAACTACAGGAAGATGACTGAACAAGAGGAGACTGTGAAAGAAAAGGTCTGCGCTGTTAGATTAGTAGGCTCATGCATTCATTCGAGAACATCTATTTTAACTCTACAGTGTGTGTGTGTGTTTCTTTGTTCAGATGCTGGCCTTGTGGGATGGCTTCATTCCCCTCCTAAAGGAAGCAGACATCATTGTGTCTTGTCGCCTTCCTTCAATGGCAAACGCCTTGGACGCCATGTTCTCAGTGTTGGCCTGCGACCTTAAAAACACCGTCTCTAAAGCTACAGCCGGACCCTTCATCGACCCGAGCCAGGAGGCTAAAGAGATGGTTTCCAGACTGAGCCTCATGTGTGTTCATGTGCAGAATCTCAACGCAAACCTGGAGCAACTGAGCAGCAAAAGTCAAAACCTACACGGTGAGATGATACTAATCATTTCTGTGATTTACTTCAAACAAGCTTAAGAACCGCAAAAAGCAATGTGGTGCGTTTGGTCCTATAACAACCATATTAAACAATGTTATATATTTAGAACATCTTGTCATGTTTTATTTCCTCCCATTAGAACATCCAAAGGATTTGTCCATTTTAACAGCCGATGTTCAGAGGGTCAAAGCCCGTAAAGAGCTGTGGGAGATCATCTCTGCGTACACAACATGGAGAGAAGAGTGGAAACAGCTGCTTCTCACTGAGGTGACATTTCAAATCCACCTCTGTAATTCACAAAATGGATGAATGACAAATGCACAAACAGACGTGGGAGAAGTACTCAGATCTTGTACTTGAGTAAAAGTAGAAGTACTCAGATCTTGTACTTGAGTAAAAGTAGAAGTACTCAGATCTTGTACTTTAGTTAAGGTAGAAGTACTCAGATCTTGGACTTGAGTAAAAGTAGAAGTACTCAGATCTTGTACAGTAAAAGTAGAAGTACTCAGATCTTATACTTGAGTAAAAGTAGAAGTACTCAGATCTTATACTTGAGTAAAAGTAGAAGTACTCAGATCTTGTACTTGAGTAAAAGTAGAAGTACTCAGATCTTGTACTTGAGTAAAAGTAGAAGTACTCAGATCTTGTAATTGAGTAAAAGTAGAAGTACTCAGATCTTGTACTTGAGTAAAAGTCGAAGTACTCAGATCTTGTTCTTGAGTAAAAGTAGAAGTACCAGAGTGTAGGAATACTCTGTTACAGTAAAAGTCCTGCATTCAAAAATGTTCCTCAAGTGAAAGTAGAAAAGTATTCTCATCAAAATATAGTGAAAGTAGCGACAGTAAAGTAGTCATTGTGCAGATTCAACCCAGTCTCATGGCATTTCGTGTTCACCAACACGATTTTTAATCTATTGATTCGTGTTCACCAACACGATTTTCCCCTTTTTTTCGTGTTGCACAGCACGATTTTAAAAGCAATGTATTTCTACTGGTAATGACGCTCATGGAAGCACGGCATTCGTTTGTGTCGGCTGCCCTTAAAGGCAATGTGAGCGTCCATTCTCATTGGATAACGGAGAATTGTACACCCGGAAGTAAGTATTCCCCTTACTGTTGATTGATTTTACAGTGATATCTGCACTACTCATCGACTAAAAAACACCAGATTATCCTTGTTAATTACACAACATTGATTGGTTTAAATTGTGTGCAATGCTTTTGTATTTTTCCCCTTCGATTCGGAGAAACAAATATTTTTTCGGAGTAAAGCATGGCAGAAGACACTACACTACCCAGAATCCCCAGCTATCGTTTGGACTACACCATGTGCTCTGTTTGACAAACCCTGTGATAGTCCTCAAGCTCTGTGATTGGAGAGTGTGCTCCGAGGGTTACGCAGAGCCTCGAACAGCACTTTAAATGGGATGGAACCACGTCAGACTGTCCAAAACTGGATTTGAACGGGTCCACCGCGTCCCCCCCTCCCCCACCCCGTCCCCAGAACTACACATGCTGGCTATTCTGTTTCGCAACATGTTCTGTATCTATGGCACGTCTCTACTGGGAGTTGTAGTTTTAAAAGACGTTTTCGTATTTCCCATAATAAGAAGTTGCCAGTATTAAACTGTGTACATCCCTGGAGGTTTAGGGGATAGGAAACACTCACATTTAAAACATATAATTAATAAATGGGTGAAAATTGCTTGTGCCCATAAGGGGCAGCATTAATATATATATACACACATGCCAGCTAAGGTCAGAAGAGCTTTATTTAACAGCTGGTCTTATGTTTGTGACCCCTGTTGTTAATTGATAACATTACATTACATTACATTAATTGATAAGCCTGAAACATGCACTTGTTAAGGTTCAGAGGCACATTTTGCAAATATGGCAGTAGCCATCTATCAGCTTAAGATAAGATACTTTAAATGATCCCAAGTTGGAACATTTGCGTTACATCAGCATGTGTAACAGTTAAATATGCAGTGGTGTTTATTTGTAAATCATTTAGTATAATCACACAAATTCTGTGTTTTATATTTAACAATTCTGTGTTCTTTATTTATTGATTGTTCAATACCTGACAAGGTATTGATGAATATGAAATATTGATGAAGATGAAATATCTACATATATCTTATAAGAGTATAATACATTATGTATAATATCAGTTAAAATAAGTGCTTCAACATAGTTAACATTGCTGGAGGTATGCACAAATATTGATAGATGTCTTGTAATGCGCTATTGAGGAACCTGCGACCCAAGTGTTTCATTCAATGCATAACTACACCATAGTTGTGTAGGCCTATATGATATGTCAATAAACCTTAGAAAATCTTGAAATCTTGAAAGGGATGTGCAAAATAGTTATTATATACAGTCTTTAATTAACTATTAGTAGAGAATAACGAGTAATTAATATACTTTATAGGGATCCTATTAATATCTAATAATAAAAATAATGAAATTCAATAACATGCTTTAACCACTAGGTGTCCCTTTATATCAGCTGTGCACCTTTATGGTGTAAATACAGCCTATCTACCAATTGGATCAAATATAAAAGTCAGCCGAATTAGTGTTGATACTGCAAGGAGACGTATTGTGTGAACATAAATGTAAGATGTTGTTTAATGGCTGATATATTTATGATCCACGTCACGTTTTCAGTTCCTCATGTTTGTCTAGAAGTCTTCTCATCAGGGCTCTATAAATTCAGAACTACGGCAGATATGTAATATGTAATGCAGCCGAACCGTGTATTACAATGCCGTTATGTGATGACTTTCAAAGAGAAAAGCAAGCACACTCGGAATAAAGTATTATTGTATTTTTTAAAAATGTTTTCGGTCTGTTTCCGGTATTTGTTAATAACGATGTGCTGTGAGATGTGAGACTGGAATTGCACAGGGGAAAATAACGTAGGCTATCTTTAGATTTTGTTAAACTAATATGTTTGAGCTGTGGACCAACACTATACATTGACGGGGAAGGGGGTAGCAATAAAGATAACACCATTAAACAGTTACACAACATAACAGAAATAATATCGATAGCAGCGTCCCTAGCAACCACCTTGGTAACAATGAAAACGTTATGGACGCAATTTCCTGAAGTAATCTTCGTAATAACTAGCAAACTAAAGATCATGTACATCCACTGCACACATAATCGGAAATAACAACTCATATTTCTCGCATCAAATGACATCAAAACGCATTTGAATGGCCAAACTAACTTTAAAATAGGCATTTTCCACCGAGAATAAAACGAAGTTCGGCCATGTTTTTTTTTTCTGCAGGGAGAAATTTGAAGATCACGTGACGTCAAACAGAGCACATGGTGTAGTCCAAACGATAGCTGGGGATTCTGGGTAGTGTAGTGTCTTCTGCCATGCTTTACTCCGAAAAAATATTTGTTTCTCCGAATCGAAGGGGAAAAATACAAAAGCATTGCACACAATTTAAACCAATCAATGTTGTGTAATTAACAAGGATAATCTGGTGTTTTTTAGTCGATGAGTAGTGCAGATATCACTGTAAAATCAATCGACAGTAAGGGGAATACTTACTTCCGGGTGTACAATTCTCCGTTATCCAATGAGAATGGACGCTCACATTGCCTTTAAGGGCAGCCGACACAAACGAATGCCGTGCTTCCATGAGCGTCAATACCAGTAGAAATACATTGCTTTTAAAATCGTGCTGTGCAACACGAAAAAAAGGGGAAAATCGTGTTGGTGAACACGAATCAATAGATTAAAAATCGTGTTGGTGAACACGAAATGCCGTGAGACTGGGTTGGCAGATTGGTCCATTTCAGAATAATATATATGATATGTTTTATAATGATTGATCATGAAAGTGTTCTCAAAGCTGGTGAAGGTGCAGCTAGTTTGAAGGACTTTGTATACTGCAGGGTAGCTTGTGGATTTACACTTAGACTTTATGTAGCAACCAGGGAAACACACCAGGAAATCCTCTTCACTCTTCATCGAATCGTGACCCCAAGAAATCGAATCGAATCCTGAGATTCCCTGAATCGTGCATCCCTATAAAACATGTACCTAATTGTCCTTTATATCTATGGAGGACCAAAGTACCATTTTAATAACAAGAGTATTGGCCTGGATCGTAGTAAATAAACAAAGATATTCCAAGCACTGTTTATAAAAGCGATAGAGTTAAGAAAATGTTGTTTTGCAATCACTATTGTCTATTTAAACCAACAAATCTGTTTGAATCTCTTCCTGTCAGGTAGTGGTGTCAGAAGCTCAGGGGAAAGTTGCCAAGTGGAAGGAGCGAACTTTGTCTCTAACAAGCATCATACCTACCCATGATGCAGTGCTGCAGCAGGCTTTAGGAAACCTGGAAAGTTTAGAGTATCACGTTGAGGTCATGGCCAAACTGCAAAGCCCAATGCTGACACACAGACACTGGAAAGACATTTTTGAAGGTCAGATACTTTGCCAATATTGTAACACATGCATTCATCCACAGAATATTTACCAACTAAAATACATTTATTCTGCCAGGCATGGGCCTGCGGTTTGTCCCAGAGAAGAAGGTGATTGTCGCTGAACTGACGTCTCTCCCTCTTGAAGTTCACCAGGAACTAATCAACAAGGTGAGAACAGGAGAGAGATGTACACACTGGGCTGTTTCTGATTCTACAATCAGGAAACTAAATTGCTGTTGATCCTAAATAGAGAGGTGGAGCAATGAGTCCTAAAACCAAGAAAGGTATCAGCATTTCATCACTTTCTGTCCCCGGGTCTGGAGGTCAATGGTTTTCTGGATGTGTTTTTGGTTGTTTTCTGGAAATCAGGCCTGTGGTTAACACAAGTTGAAGAGATTTTAACGTTTTGCTTATGATATATAATACGTCAGTAAATACTCCACTGGTTAATTTAAAAACAGAGGTTGCTAACAAGTGTCTAAATGAGACGACTAAACGTCATCACGCCCAACATTAGCCACCTTTAGCTTAGCGGTGGTGACGTGAAGTCATGTGACCGTGCTGTAGTTCCTTTATAGCCCAACATTAGCCACCTTTAGCTTAGCGGTGGTGACGTGAAGTCATGTGACCGTGCTGTAGTTCCTTTATAGCCCAACATTAGCCACCTTTAGCTTAGCGGTGGTGACGTGAAGTCATGTGAAGTCATATTCGACTCTGTATAATTGTTACTGTAGCTAAAACGGCTAAATCGCTTTTGAGAGATTTTAAATCTCAGATCTGCTCAGGCGAAACCTGCTTTACAGCTCTCAGCACTCAAGCCTGCATTATTAACATAGGCAGGGCCAGTCTATTGTCGCCCATCAGCTGTAGATAGTTAACTAATTAACTTCAGCTGTGAGAACTGAGCAATCAGGCGTCCATTTCGGGTAGCTCTTTCCTGGAGCGGCAGCTTCAGCGGCAGACAGGCTAAGACTGACAAAGACATTAGAGTCCTACGGGAGTAAGACTGACAAAGACATTAGAGTCCTACGGGAGTCACGAGGGAGGCAAAGAGGAGGCAAATCCTACTTTGATTGAGCTAAGTATCGTTGGCGTTTTTAATTTTTACTTTTGTTGTTTAGCCCCTCATGCTATAATCATGTGTATTTTCTCCATTCCTGTTCATGTGTCTTCTCGCAATTATCACTGGCCCCGTGTATCTCCTAATCGATATAACCGGCCTGCTCTCGTCTATCCCACGTGCTCCACTGAGATCCATCATCTAGTTTCAGGTGGCCTGTGGAACTGCCAGTCAGCTGTTCCTAAGGCTGACTTCATCTCTGGCTACGCCTCCCTGCAGTCTCTGGATTTCCTTGTTCTCACTGAGACCTGGATTACTCCATCCAACACATCCACCCCAGCAGCTCTCTCCACTGCATATTCCTTCTCCCATACACCCAGACCCACTGGCAGAGGAGGTGGCACTGGTCTCCTGCTCTCTCCCAAATGGAGCTTTTCCCTCTTCAAGCTATCTAACTTTACTCCTTCCACCTTTGAGTTCCATGCCGTCACAGTAACCCATCCTATACAGTTAACCATTGTTGTTCTCTACCGTCCACCAGGCGCCTTGGGGGACTTCTTGGAGGAATTAGATCATCTCCTCTCACACATCCCTGAAACTGGCCCTCCCGCTGTACTTCTCGGAGACTTCAACCTCCAGATGGGGAAGATAGACGAACTAACATCTCTGTTAACCGCCTTTGCTTTCTCACTCTCTCCGTCCCCACCGACTCATAAAGCTGGCAATGTCCTTGATCTCATATTCTCAAGGAACTGCGCTACTTCTAACCTCTCTGTAAACCCGCTCCACACATCCGATCACTTCTTCATTTCATTCTCTCTATCCCTTTCCAAACATAACAAACTAATCTCTTCCCATCCTACACTTGTCCGCCGTAACCTTCGCTCCCTCTCTCCCTCTACCTTTGCCTCGTCGGTGCTCTCAGCCCTCCCTTCCTCTGATTCGTTCCAACTACTGCCTCCAAACTCTGCTGCAGAAACTCTCCTCTCTACTCTCTCATCCACTCTGGACTCGCTCTGTCCTCTGACATCTCGGCAGGCTCGTCAGTCCCCTCCGGCTCCCTGGCTAAATGATGCACTGCGTGCTAATAGAACCGTCCTTAGGGCAGCAGAGCGGAAATGGTGGAAATCCAAACACTGTGACGACCTCCTAACCTATCAGGCTCTCCTCTCCTCTTTCTCTGCTTCGATCTCTCAGGCAAAAAGCACTTTCTTTCAAGATAAGATCCAATCTTCCTATTCCAATCCTAAAAAACTATTTTCCATCTTCTCCACCCTCTTGGACCCTCCAAAAGCTCCTCCCCCCTCCTCACTTCTGTCAAGCGACTTTGTTACCCACTTTGAAAAAAAGGTTGATGATATTCGCTCTTCTTTTTCTGACTCACCTTTACTCACCGCTGGGTCACCAGACCTTCCTTCCACCAACACACTAACCTCCTTTTCCCCTCTCTCTCCAAGTGAGGTTCTTACCCTCATTACCTCTGCCCGCCCTACCACCTGTCCTCTGGACCCTATCCCTTCAAACCTCCTTCAGACTATCGCTCCTGATATTCTACCGTTTCTCACCCATTTCATCAACACTTCTCTAACTTCTGGTCACTTTCCAAACAGTCTCAAGGAGGCAAGAGTAAACCCTCTCCTAAAGAAACCCACTCTCAACCCGTCTGATGTTATAAACTACAGGCCTGTCTCTCTCCTCCCGTTCCTGTCTAAATCACTTGAACGCGCTGTCTTTAAACAACTCTCCTGTTATCTCAATCAGAACAACCTTCTGGATCCGCACCAGTCTGGTTTCAAGGCAGGTCACTCCACAGAAACTGCTCTCATTGCTGTCACGGAGGAACTGCACACTGCCAAAACTGCATCCCTCTCCTCTGTCATCATCCTGTTGGACCTGTCTGCTGCATTCGACACGGTGAATCATCAGATCCTCCTTCGCACTCTCCAAAAACTTGGAGTTTCTGGCTCTGCACTTTCCCTCCTCACCTCATACCTGAAAGACCGTACCTACAGGGTGACTTGGAGAGGGTCTGAGTCCGACCCTTGTCAATTAACTACGGGGGTCCCTCAGGGCTCTGTTCTTGGTCCCCTCCTCTTCTCCTTGTACACAAACTCGCTCGGATCAGTCATTAGCCCGCATGGTTTTTCTTACCACTGCTACGCTGACGACACCCAATTAATTCTGTCCTTTCCCCGCTCAGAGACCCAGGTCGTCGCACGCATCTCTGCTTGTCTAGCTGACATCTCTCAGTGGATGTCTGCTCACCACCTCAAGCTCAACCTTGACAAGACTGAGCTGCTCTTCCTCCCGGGAAAAGATTGTCCAACTCTTGACCTGACAATCAACATCGGCACCTCAGTTGTTTCCCCGACTCAGACTGCAAGGAATCTGGGTGTGACCCTAGATAACAACCTGTCCTTCACTGCAAACATCGCTGCTACAACCCGCTGCTGCAGATACACGCTTTACAACATCAGGAAGATACGTCCCCAGCTGACTCAGAAAGCGACTCAGGTTCTGGTCCAGGCTCTCGTCATCTCACGCCTAGACTACTGCAACTCCCTCCTGGCTGGTCTACCTGCATGTGCCATCCAACCTCTGCAGCTCATCCAGAATGCAGCGGCTCGTCTGGTTTTCAACCTTCCTAAATTCTCCCACACCACTCCGCTCCTCCGCTCCCTTCACTGGCTTCCGGTAACTGCTAGAATCCACTTCAAGACACTGGTACTTGCTTACCGTGCTGCGAATGGATCTGGCCCTTCCTACATCCAGGACATGGTTAAACCGTACACCCCAGCGCGTGCACTACGCTCTGCATCAGCCAAACGACTCGTTGCGCCCTCGCTGCGAGGGGGACCCAAGTTCCCATCGGCGAAAACACGTGGGTTTGCTATCCTGGCTCCAAGATGGTGGAATGAGCTCCCCATTGACATCAGGACGGCAGATAGCTTGCACATCTTCCGGCGCAAACTGAAAACTCATCTCTTTCGACTCCACTTCGAGCGTTAGAACGATTAACGAAGCACTTTTATACCAATAAAGGACTGGATTACCTAAAGCCAGTTGAGCAGCACTTGAAATGTTTGGCTCTATGAAACCTGATATACTTATATGATTCTGTTTTCTTCAAGGTTGTGTCTTCCTGGTCGAATGTACTTATTGTAAGTCGCTTTGGACAAAAGCGTCAGCTAAATGCAATGTAATGTAATGTAATGTGACCGTGCTGTAGTTCCTTTATAGCCCAACATTAGCCACCTTTAGCTTAGCGGTGGTGACGTGAAGTCATGTGACCGTGCTGTAGTTCCTTTATAGCCCAACATTAGCCTCCTTTAGCTTAGCGGTGGTGACGTGAAGTCATGTGACCGTGCTGTAGTTCCTTTATAGCCCAACATTAGCCTCCTTTAGCTTAGCAGTGGTGACGTGAAGTCATGTGACCGTGCTGTAGTTCCTTTATAGCCCAACATTAGCCTCCTTTAGCTTAGCGGTGGTGACATGAAGTCATGTGACTGTGCTGTAGTTCCTTTATAGCCCAACATTAGCCTCCTTTAGCTTAGCGGTGGTGACGTGAAGTCATGTGACCGTGCTGTAGTTCCTTTATAGCCCAACATTAGCCTCCTTTAGCTTAGCGGTGGTGACGTGAAGTCATGTGACCGTGCTGTAGTTCCTTTATAGCCCAATATTAGCTACTTCTAACATATATAATCCTGTAACAGAAATGCGACACCCCTTCACATTTATATTGTTACACACTGACCTTTCTTCTTACTCTTTCAGATATGCAGGGATGCACAAGCAGAGTATAACATGGAGCAGAACTTCATAAAGCTTCAACAGGAATGGAAACCCAGACTATTCCAGCTGGATAAATTCACTCTGCCTGTTTGGCAGCATCAAAAACCACAATATGTATTACCAGAAACAAAGAAACCCACAGAGGGCATAGTTTCAAAACTCCAAACTGCCAATCAACACACCTGTAATGATCCAAGACTCCTCGTCATTGGTGAAACCAAGCTAGAAAATGTGTAAAATCAATACTCAGCTTACAGTTTGCTGGGGTTAACCATGTGTCTTCTTACTCAGGTCTGGAGATACACTTTGCTGAGATAGAGAACGATTTGATGACTCTGTCCACCATGTTGAAGTCCCCACACAGTGTTGACTTCAGGCTGCAGAATGAACATTTGTTCCAATCACTGCACGATCTCGGTATGGTGGATATTCAACCAAAGAGAACATTTGCATCCAATTTGAGGAACAGTTTGAACATTGTAATGTCCTTTTGTTTTCTGTTCATTATTAATAGGGAAGCTGCTTTGTTTATTTGAAAGATACCAGCAGTTATGGGCTTTCTTGACCAAGATGTTCCATGAAACATCCATAAGAGTGCAGAGTGTGGAGCTGGTATGTCATCTTTATATTTATATATAATATATCACAACGTTGCAGTGCTATGAATCTGATTGCAGAGCTTTTCCTATTTTCTTCACAGCTGGAACAATTCCAACCAATTGATGAGACCTTTAAGGACATTATTCAGTCCGTCTCAAGTGACACTCATGTGTGGAACTTTGTTAATCCAAAGAAAACAAATGAGAGATTTTATGGCAGAAACTTCCACCAGATTCTCATTGACGGTGTCTCTACAATGGAGGCCATTTCCAGCCAGATGTCTGACCTCCTGGAGAGCCTCTGTCAACAGTTTCCAAGACTGTGGTTCTTAAGTGATTGGGAGAGGATACAGCTACTCTCCTTTGATCCAACACCTTGCACACTGCAGCCTTTTGTACGCAAATGCTTTAAAGGGATACGTTGGCTAGAAGTGGATTGTGTAATACCATCTAATCAGACAGGTGTAAAGATCTGTGGGGCTACATCTGAGAGTCAGATGAAGGTTCTGGGGTTTTTCGGCAGCCTCCAGGAGCACATTACCTTTCCGTCTCCTTTGGAGCCAAATCCCAATGCCTTAGGTTGGCTTTCTATCTTTGAGAAAGAGTTAACGTTGACCATGGTGCAACTCATGAAGAAATGTGCTATTGTGAGAATCCAGCTTGAACCACACACTGAAGATGTGGCATTTGATAAAGAAGTAAAAGACATTGTATTTCAAATTGCTGAAAGAAGGAAAGTCGCCCTCCCTGTGCTGGATCTCGTGTCTGAATACCCTCTTCAGTGTCTGCTGGTGGTGGAGGAGGCAGTTTGGTGCCAGTCTGTCCTACAAGCTTTCCAAGAGTCAAGTCCAGTGATGTTAAGAAACATAAAGGCATACAACTCTGCAAAATGGAAAACCCTTGGCCGTTTCATAAGGGATGGAGTCACAGGGTCTAACTGTGAGTCTTTGGTCTCTAAGTACAGGATGATGTGTCTGCGAGCTTTGGTGCAACTTACAATGAAGCATTCCCAGCAGCTTTCTCGGCTCATGGAGGTGCAGAGTCTTCCAGAGTCGTCTTTCGAGTGGCTAAGTTTCATGAAGTATCATATAAACTCAGAAGATTGTAGTCTGACGGATGATCCAACATGTCACGTGGATGTTTTGGGCCATCGACTCCAATATGATTATGAGTATTTTGGTCCAGAAGATTGTGTGATGGGACACACTCCATCCACAGATCGGGCGATACTGGGGATTCTCCTGGCTCTCACAAGCTACAGGTGTGGGTTTGTGAGGGGACCTTGCATGTCTGGAAAGAAAACAACAGTGGTTCAGTTGGGAAAAGCGTTGGGGCGAATGGTTGTCAACTTGCAATGTTGTCCAACTATGAGCCCCGGTGTTGTTCAGAGGATGCTGTTGGGTGCTCTTCAGACTGGAGCGTGGCTTCTGCTGGACTCTGTAGACCTACTAACACAAGGATTACTTTCAATGCTGGGCCAGCATCTATTTGACATCCAACAATCCTTCGCAGAGTTCACACAAAAGAAGAACCAAAGACTGAGAGAGGAGCCAAAGGACTGGAATGCTGATGGGGTCACAGATTGCACAAACCTCCATTCAGATTGTCACATGGTGATTGCAGGGAAAAGCATTTCTGCCAGACCAAGCTATGGATGTGTTGTCATCTCATCCAAAGGGTATTCATCTGAGGTTCCAGAGATTCTGCGATGTGCTACCAGACCCATCGCTTTAACCCTTCCAGATTACAGGATCATCGCAGAAGTAATGCTGACTTCCATTGGTTACTCAGACGCCGTGTCTTTAAGTCAACGTCTGGTGGACCTCATCAGCCTGGCCCAGGATTCCCTCTGTCTGCCTGATTCCATCAATGACCACCAGAGCTGCTATCTTGTCCTCTTGCAAAAGATCATCTCTGCATCTGAAATGCACTTCCAACAAAGTGAAAGGCAAAAAGACATTTCTGATGAGGCCGATCCTACACCTTCAGAAACTCTGACTGTCAGAGTTGATGATAAGGACAGAAAAGAAGCTGAAAAACCCTCCAGGTTTCTCAGTTCTCATTTGTCCATTATACAGGGATTAATGGAGGAGACAGCTATTGTCAAAGCCATTCTTTCTGTCTCATTACCTGTTCTTTATGAACAAAAGAAAGCCTTGCAGTTCTCCATCCTTCTCAAGGAAACATTCCCTATTGCATGCCAGTTTCCTCTCTTCCAAGAGTACATCGAGGAAGAAGAAAAGACTCAACTTAAATATGCACTAACAGAAGAATTACAAAGGAAATGTTTTCACGCTGACACTGAAATAATAAGCAGTTCTCTGAGACTCTACCATACCATGAAACTCTCTCCCGCAGTTATTCTCATAGGCCCTTCAGGTAGTGGAAAGACAACCTGTCGCTGTGCTCTTGCTGAAGCACTCAATCACCTGGCTGCGTTGACAGAAAATGACAATAGGATGGAAGGAGATACCCCACAGATCTCAACCTGGAACTCTGTGGACACCGTGGTTTTATTTCCTAATGCCATGTCCCATAAGGAGCTATTTGGCAGCTTCTGTGAAAAGAGAGGATGGCAAGATGGAGCTGTAGTAAAGGTGCTGAGAGATTCAGAACCAAAAATCTGCAACAAGAATCAGAAAAGTGATCAGATACATAAATGGCTGGTGATGGATGGGAATCCTGTAGGCTGGTTGGACTACTTAACTACAATGTGCAGTCCTCAGGACCAGTTTCTGTGCCTGTCATCAGGGGAAATACTGCCATCCCAACCACACCTTAGACTAGTGATGGAGGTCACTGATCTACGTGATGCAAGTCCCTCTGCAGTGACCCGCTGCAGCCTGGTTTATTTCTCAGGTTCTGATCTGTGGAAGGCTGTGTGGAGGAGTGAAATGGATGCTCTGTCTTCTGAACACAAACTAGATCAAGGAACCTTGAACATGTGGAATCGTCTGGCTGAAGATCTGTTCTCCAACACGCTTACCGCTTTAACATCTGCAATCCTAAATGAAGGAGAATCTCTTGAAAGCGTTGTGCATGGGATGAGAGAAATCATGTCGTTTGTTCGGATCCTACGAGCCCTCCTTCAGCATGTCGGGAAGGAAGGGGAGAAAGCTGGGGCAACACCACAAGTGTACAAAAAAGGTATAACCAGGACGGTTGAACAGAAAGTCTTATTCAAGCTAAGGTAGTGACTTAACTTTTATTATTACTTCATAGCCTATTTTTTTCCACCAGATACACCTCTACACAGAGCCGGAACAGACAGCAAAGGCCTGCTGAACAGAAACCTTTTCCTGGTGGCTTATATTTGGGGATTTAGTGGACATCTGCATCCTCGGTAAGACCATTTTGGTTTTCTTATCAAAATGATGCCATAAATAATCAATTTTGTATGTTATTGCAAAATAAATCACATATTTCTGTACACAAACAACATTTCTCGCCAATTTTCTTCACATACTTTATGATTTCCTTCAGCCACTGGCCACGGTTCGACTCAGTGGCCCATCAAGTGCTGTTTACCTGCCGATACAGAATTGTGGTTCCTGATGGAGAGAGTGTGTTTGAATACTTTTTTAACATCGACATCAAGACATGCTCCAAGAACACACTGCTGACAAAATCTATTCCTCCCATGGTTTGTCCAGAATACTCTTGTGCATTGAAAGTACACACATATATAATACATCTGTTTAAACATTATAACTAACACATGTCTTGTTATTTAGTATAGGAAGTATGCCTCTCTTCTGAACATCATGTTGGAGGCGAACCAGCCGGTGTTGCTCTCAGGAGAACCCGGTTCTGGAAAAACGACTCTGTGCAGAACGTTGCTGAGTTTTGAGAAGCCACACATTACTCTACCAGCCAGTCCTCTACTGAGATCCAGAGACCTACACACCGTACTGAAGACCATCAACTGCACGAAGAACTGCAGAGACACTCAGGGTCCCAATGCAAAACAGACTGGACTGCTTGTCTTTGTGGATGATTTGCACGAAGCCCCCAGAGGTGAGTAAGAACATTAAAGGTAACCTATTATGCTAAATCTACTTTTACATAAATATTTGAGATTCTGAACGTCTCAGGAACAAAGACCCCTCTCTTTTTGTCCTGATACATCTCTATGAAAACCCGTCTGAAAATGAGCTGATCAGATTTTGGTCACTTTGTGATGTCATAATGTTTTTTATCTTTTTTTATCACCTGGATCTCCTCCTAGAGCTCCATTGAGTTCTTTGTAACCACATGTCTCTCAGAGGGGCGTGGGGAGGGGCTCCATATTTTCATCTAAAGTAACAGACAGAGAATCAGCACTTTGGGAACAGGGCTGAAACAGAGGGGATTATGGGTAATGCTGCAATGATCTGTTTGGTGTTTCAGCCAATCAGAGAAAGGCTCTGTATATATCTGAGACCTGTGATATATTGACGAAGAGCAGTATAATAGGAGACCTTTAACTTCAGGGCATTTAGTTTGAAGCTTCTTGAGGTTAATATCTATATTGTGCCTGTTATAGATGTCTTTGGGAAGATGTCTACGGCTCTAGACACGCTCCGACAGAGTATCTCGATGGGACGGATTCTAACATTTGACGGCTACAACTTCAAGTTATTGAGTGCTGCTTCCCTCAGCTACATGGCCACCTGTTGTGTCTCTGGATCACACAGTACAGTGATTTCCTCCAGGCTCTCACGCCTGTTCTCCAACTTTGTGCTCCCCAGCCTTTCTATGGACGTCATATTGTCTATCCATTCTCCTCGGCTAAAGATGTGGCTCAAAGAAACACAACTAACGCAGAGTGCTGAGGATATGGCATGTTGCATTATCACTGCAACTAAGAATGTGTATGATGCCGTGTGTGACCAATTCAAGCCTACTGTGCAGAGGCCCCTTTTCATATTTTCCCATCATGACCTTCAGAAGGTGTTTAAGGGTTTGTGTCTCTGGCAGCCTGACAGAGGGACAATGCAACAAAAGGAGGAAACAATACTAATCCTTCCAGAGTCTGAACCAGTCCTTAACATCGCACATCTCTGGATGCATGAGTGTTTGCGTACATTCAGCGACAGGTTATGCTCCGAGGATGAAAGCAAAACTCTTGAGTCCCTCATAGCCATGACAGCAACAACTCACTATGGAAGTAGATTGGCTGATGCAACTTCTCCTGTCAGTTTAGATGTCAAAAGGCTTGATATTCACACACTCCCCTCGGACACTGAAGGTCAGCCAATAGCTAAGAGTTTAGGTAACCGTAATTTGCCTCAAGAGACAAAACCAGCTGGACAATCCGACCTGAAGAAAGCCCAGACATTGACTGAACCTTCCTCTTTGTCTGGAAACATTTCGTCAGTAGAAGAAAGCCTAAAAACTCATGCTATGCAACCCCAGATTCTTCAGCATATGGAGGACAAACTGGCTAATCTTGTGTATGCTCCTGATCTTTCTGAGGCTCCAATGAATCAGAAACACATTTTTAAGTGTAGCTTTACTTACCAGGACAGAGACCTTGAGGTATTACTGCAGCAACTGCGTGTCCTCATCAGCAGAAACAAGGAAGACAAAGGACAGGAAGCTGATTATAATATTTTAAATAGATGCGTGGTGCACAGACAGAGGGTGGGTCAGCTGTTACACATCCTCCGGGCGCTGCTTATACCCGGAGGTCACGGACTGCTGATGGCCTCCAACAAAAGCACAGGTCGTAAAACCACAGTGCGTTTAGCTGCCTTTATAACCGGATACCTGCTGATGGAGGTGCATCCCAGTAACGAGGATGAGTTGCACGAAATCCTCAAAGAAGCTGTGAACAAAACAAGAGTGGATGGAGTTAGGGTCATCATACTGGTTCATGAAGGAGTCAGTCAGCCAATCAGATGGGAGCTGCTGGCGGCGATGGCTCACCAAACACAAGCAGGACTTTACACCGAGGATCTGAGGAACGTTGTTTCCAGAGCGACTGATGTGAGGAAGTCAAGACGATATCGTATGGACTACTGGATGTCTGAGAAGTAAGAGGAAACTGCCTTAAATATTGGGATGTTGTTGTTGCCACGTTTAGATCTTATTTAAAGACAACAAATCTGGGCTGAAATTTGAAAATGTGATTAATTGTTAATCAAGTTAATACTGTTTTTTTTACAGGTACTTGAGCCAAATCCACAGAAATGTGCACGTGTTCCTGTTGCTGCCCTTCACAACGACAGACAGCAGTGAGGTTCCTGCAAACAATGGAGACCGTGGATTGACCGTAAATACCTTTTTTATTTATTTATTACAACACCTGTCACTGAACCAATGTACCTGTAATTAAATATTGAAACACAAACTGTTCTTTTATGACCAGTTAGTTGGAAAAGTCAACCTGCGGACAAACATTTAAACAGGTTCCGAACATTACTAATAAACCTGTTTAGCCCCATGCCCCCGCGGGACATCTTGCAAGAAACAGCGTCTCAGGGCTTCTTAACATTGAACAAACTATGAATGTGTCATACCCAGATAATGGGAAGAAACTCAGCTAACTGACTATACAAACCATTTTAACCGAAACAAAACACAAGTCTCACAAGAAGCGTCTAAATGAGCCCAGAGCGAAAAAATGCTAACGCAGTTAGCACAGAACTCACGGTATAAACACGTTATTACTTATCGGATCTGCATAACAAAGATATCAGCTAGCAAGCTGAGATTCCACAGATTCTAGATGTATAAGTATCATCACTGAGCGATCAAAACTCGCCACAGGGGAATCAAACCCAGACATCACACAACGTAGCTTTAGGTAGCAAAAACGTACCTTTGCTATTGTTCTGATCAAAAGTTTTGTTCAATGGCATTAAAACGATAAAAACACTGCTGAAGGTTAATCCATAGGTTAATCCAGTGGCTCTCAAACTGTTTCTGTCAGGCCCCCCCATTGGAGAAAAACAAATGTCGGGCCCCCCCAACACAAGTCAATCAATCAATCAATCAATCAATCAATCAATCAATGTTTATTTATATAGCCCAATATCACAAATGTTACATTTGTCTCAGTGGACTTTACAGTTTGTACAAAATATCAGTATGACAATACGACACCCTCTGTCCTTAGACCCTCACATCGTACAAGGAAAAACTTCCGGAGAAAACCCACAGTTTAAAGGGAACATGGGAGAAACCTCAGGGAGAGCAACAGAGGAGGGATCCCTCTCCCAGGACGGACAGACGTGCAATAGATGCCGTGTGTAAATTGAAAAGATAATACATTTGCAACATAGGTAGTCCAAATGTTTGGAAATGCATGTGTGTATAATAGGAAGATGAATCCACGAGGATATCCATCCAGGACCTATGATCCAGGACCACAGCCACGACTCAAGATCCAGGGCTCGCGATGCAGGACACAGGACCGCAGGATCATCCATGACTCCGGATCCCGGCGTATATAGACACCAAAAAGAAAGACATTTGCGGAAGCTGGGTTAATGGGAACATGAGAGTAAGTCAGGCTCAGTGGCGGCGCCAGAGATTTATTTTGGGGTGCTGTGGGGTAGCTTGACGTTTCATAGAGGGTGCTCAAACATTTAGGGTTTCCCCTTAATGTACCGGGCGCTACAGTGGAACACTCCCCACGCATATACACAACGTCCCCGCGACTGTTACAATGAAGGCTCGATAATCAGCTCACGGCATATAGGTGTAAGCAGGGGTAACGTGCTATTTTTATAGGTGGTGAGTGGACCTCACATAGGGGGGTCCGGGGGGCATGCTCCCCCGGGAAGATTAATTTTTAAATATTGAAGTTAAAAGCATCAATCTGGTGCACTTTGAGAGCAACATGAAGAGATCTATGGATACCTCTCTCAACACCCAGATGAAACAGAACTGTAAACAGATTTACTTTTTCTTTATGGATATTTTACAAATCACCCTTTTAAACTTTATTCTTGTTTTAGTGTCATATAGTATTTCATACCTGTTTTTCATGTATTCTCTTATTTTTTTATAACTATAATGATCATATAAACGTGTGCCTTGGAAATAATTGTTTACATTAATGGTGACCAAACCGTTTGAGACCCACTGAGATAACACTGAGAGGGTCCTTTAGCTCACTGAGTCTCTCAGTCTGACAGGAGAGGACTCTCCTCCACTTTGTTGTTGAAAAAACTCCTTATATCCGTTAGCGTAGCTCGCTAGCACCAGAAGCTAACAACAACGATCTCCGGTACCGGTGCGCTCTCTCTCGCTCTCTCTCGCTCGCACACACACACAAAATGGCTTGTTCCACACACACAGAGCCGAGCTTTAAAGAAACACAGAGACCCAGACGTAATAGTACTGTATCATATTATTTTCAAATCAATAATTTCTCAAATTATGATTTTTCTTTTTTTTTATAAATCTTTTTTTTTAATAACCATTTTTCCTCCTGGTCTCTCGCATTTTTCCTCCTGGTCTCTCGCATTTTTCCTCCTGGTCTCTCGCGCCCCCTACTTTAGGAACCACTGGGTTAATCCAATGTGTCTGTGTCACTTTGAAATGATTACTGATAATCCATCAGCAATAAACCTAATTTTCAGTTTTCAGAGCGTAACATAGCTTTCGACTGCGTGCGCATCACTCTCACTCCTCAATGGAACGTGTATGTGGAATTAGGAACTTTCCCTTTGATTCTATTGGCTCTAACAGTTCAAAAGATAACCCTAACCATCATAATCGACCATTGGGTTCCAGAGAAACGGCAAATGACCCCAGAAGTGTTTTTTTTTCTTCTAAACCTCTCTAAAAAGCTCAAACTTCTCTTGTTTTGCATCAATCTTGATACAGGGTACTTATTATATGTTATGTTTGGATTCCTAAAGCTTTTAGTCTACCATCCCATCATCCAAGGTTAGTTTTCACTATAAGTAATGTTTTTTTTTTGGACGGACACTATAATCTTTTTTTTTTTACTATGTTCAATTTGAATTGACTTTAAAATAAAAACATATATATTGATTCTGACTTTTCTACATCCAACTCACAGGTTTATCATTGCTTTGAGAAAAAAGATTATTCATTTAACCCTTTTCGAAGGGAAGATATTCATTTGTTCTGGGAATGTCATTTTCGAGCCTGAGACCTGAAAAACAGGCTCAGGGCTAAACTTGATACCACATCAAATATTATTTAACTCTTAAAATGGATGCAGTGTTTGGTCTTTCATTTCTACAAGATTTCCTTCAAAGTTTTTTTCAGAATTAACCAAAAAACTCACTAAAAACGTATATCATTGGGTGTATCAAAATGAAAATGTACCAATATTATCAAGCTGGTTTACAATATTTTATATAATTAACACCATTTAAAATAAAACCTTGAAATGGATGTGCAGTGTTTGGTGTTTTATTTCTGCATCTTCACTTAAGATTTCCTTCAAACAAACTGTAGTCCATGTTGTTGTGTATACGCAGTCCTGAATCTACTCTGGTGCGATGGGTGGAAAGGGCTCTCTATACTAAGTGCAGGTCAAATTGAATATTGAATGCTATTCTATCCTTTGTGATGCAGACACAGCTGATGAAGGCTCTGAGCCTGAGTGTGTGTGTGGACATTTACCAGCCGTGGTCCAGACTGTCTCTAGTGGAAGTTGCTGCTCAATGCCTCAAAACAAACCCTCCTATAAGTCAGTCTACACTCTCCTTATATTTACCTCTTTTTACTGGTAGTGTCATATCTACAATGCGCTCTCCTTTTCCCTTTATTCAGCAGAGAGAGACACCTCAGAGGCCGGCCTGTCTGTGGTTATGGCAGGAATCCATCAGTCTGCATGTCAGTATGCGTCTGTGCTGCTCAGAGATCAGACGTTCAACCCTCAGACCTTTCTGGAGTTTATTGCACACTTTCATCACCTCTTTAAACATCTGCACACACAACATCAGAGCAGAGCCAACAGGTAAATATCCACTAACAGGTAGTTCTTCTTCTCTCTGTGCCTCCAGTGTTTGATATGCTGCAGCTCCACTGTAGCTTAAAGAAGATAAGATAAGATAATGGACAATCTTGCACTATGTACATTCCCTAACATATTGAAGTGACTGTTATTTTGTTATTTTGATTGTTGTGTTTTATCTTAATGTGTGCATATGTGTAAATGTGACTGTTGATTGTATATGGGCCATTCTACCGAATTGGACCAATGTGAGGTTGGAAATGTTTTGAAATGTTGTATGTTTTTTCCCCAAAACTTTGTCCATATATATTTTGTACCATATCTACACATATTTAGTAAAAGAACTGTACATTTTGATATCGTATTTTCAGACTGTATTGGAATGTTCTTCCTCTTCCAAAGATGGTCACTACCAAAACATAGTACACTGTAGTAAAAAAGTATTATATGAACCTGTTAAGATTGTTTTACCTTCCCTTATCTAAATAGTATTTTAACAAATATTTCTTGAGGGTTTTCACAATTAAATTAATAAAATTGCATTTTTAATCAAATTTCAAAGTTAAATGTATACAATTCATAAAAATAGCAATGCAAACTTTCTTTGTAAAATGCATAATACTGATCATATTGATTCCAGAGTTGATGATTGTTGAAATTGAACATACATTAAACCAATAAGTATCATATCGTTTTATTTGATAAGTCAATATACTTAATTTTTTACAAAACATCCAGTGTTTCGGTAGTGTCTAGGGGTGTAACGGTATACGTATTCGTACCCAATATATTCGGTATGGGCCCTTCGGTTCGGTACACGTGTGTATAACGTCAAACGTAAGAAATTGAGAACGTGAACAACTTTTTGGAAGTAATCTCAGGTGCTGCGTCGCAGCATTCAGAGTAATTTGCTCACATTGGGTTCAACGCGTCATAGAGCGAGCAAGTCATTTCATTGGACGAGAGGCATACTATGAGAGCTGGTCACAGGGATGCGTTCAAATGTAGTCAGTAATTTGAGGAACTGTTGAAATGGCGAACGCAGATGAAGTTGAGCTGGAAAATCCTCCAGCATCATTGAAGTCTCCGGTTTGGGAACATTTTGGTTTCGCAGTTACGTACAAGGATGACGGGCAAAGACAGGTGGACCGAACCAAAGCTGTTTGTCGGCATTGTTCAACTAACATTGGTTACGCGGCAGGCAATACATCACACTCATTTGAAAAGGCCCTGTTTTTGCAAGGGCTGATTCTGTGACAAATGAGCTGCAGCTGACCACGCCCCCCTGCAAAGGAGGGGGGCGAGGCACGAGCGTCTTGTGACCATGCTGTTACCATGCCACGGCAACCTCTCATTCCCCTGATAGGTGGAGAGTTGCCCATATAGGCGGAGCTCCTTGTTTCTGACGTCAGAGATATTTCAAATCTGTATCAGTCTGTATCAGCTCTGTTGCAGCCCCATTTTTAGAGATTTGGGTATGGAGGAAAATAGAGAGGGTTGTGTTTTCTGACACTTGGTGAGTTCCCTGACACACCGACATATTGACATATTCATGTATAAAAGACGTACAAAAGTGCATTTTGCATGATAGGTCCCCTTTGATTGAAGATAATATGTGTTCGGTAGTGACAATTCTTAAGGTTACACGGCGATTTTCAGATTTTGGAACAGATTTCTATCAAAAGTATAAGATATAGCTAATTGCCATTCAATCATGAGGGACAGGGATGCAGTGTCACTGCCTTGTGGTGTGGCTAAAAAACAGGCTCAGCCATTGGACTAAAACCCCTTGTGTTTCGGTAGAGAAATTAAAACTGGCGACATGTTTTTTTGAGTATAGTTTTTTTATAAAGAAAATGATACCACAATAAATCTAAATATTCCAACTTCTGTTTGAATGTAATCATAAATATCTTCTAAATACACCATTGAACTAAATAAAAAAAAATGTTTTAAGAGTTATTAACAGAAATTCAAATGTAGATGTCAGGGTTGGGGACAGCTACTTCCCAATAGAAAGTACCCTATAAATGATGTTTTTGTATATATTAAGCTTATCACTATATAATGTAATGCCTTATGTTTAAATAGACCATAACATATTCTTAGTAAATATCTATGTCTGAATACTTAATTGTTTTGTTCAATAAATGTCAATCAATGTTTATTTATATAGCCCAATATCACAAATGTTACATTTGTCTCAGTGGACTTCACAATTTGTACAGCTTATCAGTATGACAATACGACACCCTCTGTCCTTAGACCCTCACATCGTACAAGGAAAAACTTCCGGATAAAACCCACAGTTTAAAGGGAACATGGGAGAAACCTCAGGGAGAGCAACAGAGGAGGGATCCCTCTCCCAGGACGGACAGACGTGCAATCCAGTTTGGACAGTCTGCCGTGGTTCCATCCCATTTCAAAGTGCTGTTTGACTTTCGGCGTAACCCTCGGCGCACACTCAAACATCCAATCACAGAGCTTGAGGACTATCACGGGGTTTGTCAAGCGAAGCGGAGAGAATATTTACTATTTTGCGGGTTTCGGCATTATGCCATGGAGCTAATCTATGTTGTTTTATGTTCTTCTTTTTCAAAGGAGCAACAGAGTCTAATTTTATTCGCAGCGCATCTGTAGCACTATCAACAACATGATCAATTTGGGGTGGTGTACATTTTGTATACGTTTCCTCCCTTACATGCAGACATGCTATCGAGTTAAGTATTGGTGGAATCTCTTCCTTACATTTGGCTTGGCTTTGTTAAATAGTTTTTCTCGTTGTGGGACTGCACTTTGTACTAATTCTGTAGAATGCCCCATATATAGAGGATATACATATTTATACACATTTGTATATTTGTATTATTGTATTTTGTATTCAGGATTGTTGGAAACGTTATTTTGATCTCTCTGTCTGTACAAACACACAGAACAATTTACATTAAAGTTGACTTTGATCTCAATAGAAATAAAATAACATTAAAGAAAAAGTAGAAAATATACATGTTGACTTATACATTTACAGTAACACAATATAAAGCAGGATAAGAAGCAAACAATATGAGGAAATGATCAAACTAATCCACAACATGTCTCATAAATGATGTGTTTTTCTATTAAAGTAAGAATAAGCAGGTTGTCCGCAGGTTTTTAACCTGTTAAGCCCGAGAGGATCCTAATCCGGGTCTGACGGTAGTTTTTTCATGAAACTGTGTCTCAGGGCTTATTAATATTTAAAAACCTTTTAATGTGTCATACTCACTTAATGGTTAGAAACTCAGCTAAGTGAAGATGTGAACCATGTTTACCGAAACAAAACACAAGTCTCACAAGAAGTGTCTAAATGAGCTCTGAGCGAAAAAATGCTAACACAGAACTCACGGTATAAATACCCTTATTACTTATTGTAACTGCACATCCAATCCAGCGATTAGCAAACTGAGATTCCAGAAATATCAGTATCATCACTGAGCGATCAGAACTCGCGACAGGGGAAGCAAACACAGACATCACAACACGTAGCTTCACGGAGTATTCACGGGAGACCGTCTCACCTTAGCTGTTATTCTGATCAAAAGTCGTGTTCAATGGCATTAAAACGAGAAAAACGCTGCTGAAGGTTAATCCAATGGTTAATCCAATGTGTCTGTCACTTTGAAATTATTACTGATAATTCATAATTTTTATGTCAAAACGGAGATTTCATATTAGCTGCTAATGATAGCCACCAGAGTGTATTGCAGCTTCCGGTTCCGGGGCATATTGGCTCTAACGGTTAAAAAGAGATGTCAATCATCAAAATGCACCCTAATGACCCCAGAAGTGTTTTTTTTTTGCTAAACCTCTCTAAACAGGTCAAATGTCACTTGTTTTGCATCAATCTTGATACAGGGTACTTATTGTTACGGTTGAGTGAAGGAAGCAGGACCCAAATGCAGATAACTCTGATTAACCTTTATTTCAAGGATAAAAAGAAAATAACTTGGACAAAAAACAGAAAACTCACCGGTGAACTCAGTCACAAACAAAAGACGAACCAACACTGAACACAGGAAGAGACAAGACTAAATACAGGGAGGGGTAATCACGAGACGAGAAACAGCCGGGCAGGGGAGGAGAAACACAAGGACAACAAAACACAATCAGACAACTAGACACACCAGGGAAACTAACGACAGGGAGGAAAAACACAGAGAGAGGGACCAGACAATACACAAGGGAAACAGGGAGAACCAAACAGCAAAATAAACCCAAACCTAGACATACAAAACTAAAAACGTGACATAAACTGAGAATCGTGACAATTATATGTTATAGTTTGGATTCCTAAAGCTTTTAGTCTACTATCCCATCATTCAAGGGTGGTTTTCACTATAAGTAATTGATATTTATATTATATAAGTAATTTAATTTTTGGACGGACACTATAATTTAATTTGTTTTACTATGTTCAATCTGAATTTACTTTAAAATAAAAACATCTATATTGATTCTGACACTTCTACATCCAAGGTTTATCATTACTTTGAGAAAACAGATTATTAATTTAACCCTTTTAGAAGATATGGTCATTTGTTCTGGGAATGTCATTTTCGAGCCTGAGACCTGAAAAACAGGCTCAGGGCTAAACTGGTTAAAAAGTATTAAAAGTTGATCGATCAATCAATTTAGCGAAAATGAAGGCTATTAAAAAGTATTAAAGGGCATTTTCCAAAGTATTGCATTTTGTAGCTTGTGTTCTATAAGTATATAAATGGTCCAAAGAGGTTGTATTCTACAGTCTGCCTGAATGTAATCATTGCGTAGGTGTGTAGTGTGATTCTGTGTAGTTTATTTATGGCATCCCGTTGGATTTGACGTCATCTGAACAGGACATCGCACGCTCACTGCTTGATATCGTGCAAAGGTCCGTTTACGCCGGTTGTTAAACAACATCGTTATGGGGAAATGCAAGTCTGCGTTTGGTTGGAAGATAAGGAGGAAGGACAATCAGTACTGTATAGTAAATGTGAGGTAAAGTGTGTCGCCAAGGTAACCGGTTAAAACTCCAAGTGACGATGAGGTCTTAAAATGTATGGAAAGGTCTTAAAAGGTCTTACATGTGACTTCAGGATTCCTGCATACACCCTGATAAGGCACTTTTGCAAAGGGGGTTCAGTAGATCTCTGAGATTCTGCAAGGACTGGATGCAACACAGAGTTAAAACATGTGATATATATTTTCTTTTATATTTGGAGCACAGCCTCTGCATCGTGATGTCTGTGAAAGCATTTGCCCTTGAGTGATAATAAGAATGTAACATGGTGGTAGGTGAGAGCTAGTTTCAAACAAGAGACACAAACAGAGACGAGTGATGGTCAGGTCACACAATAAAGAACGATGTCCACCAACTTCAGCAAGATCAGGAGACTGCTTTTCAAGAAGTCAATAAGTTACAGAGCTTTACAGACATTTCTGATGCGATCCTGGATAACATTCAATCAAATCAAACTTTAATTATATAGCATTTTAACACAACATGCTTCACAAACACATACACAAATTCTATTCAAGCCAAATTAAAAAGGTGGGTCTTCACTCAGCTTTTATAAGAATGTAAGCTCTTCTGGGAAGCTGTAATGGGTCTGAAACCAGAGCTGCTCTGATTGGTTAGCTGGCCGGCTCTGTTGTGATTGGTCCACCGCTTAGAGATGTCCCGCCCCTTACTCTATCACCTAAAATGTGTTGGACCATTTACATGCACTAATGTACCTGTATAACAGACAGCAGGAGAGGGAACACCACAGACAGCAGGATAGGTCCTCTTCAAAAGGGCATCAATAGGAACTAAATTAAATGTCGTTAAATTCCAAAAGGTTGGATTTGTTGCAGTAATAGATTCCAGGTTTAAAGGACTACCCTATAATGTCTGACTAGATAAACGTACACACAAACTCTGGTTTACAATAACTTCTCTACATTCACCAGATTAGCAGCTGTTCTGTCCCGTCTGGATGTGATGAGCGGCGAAGCAGCTCGGTACAAACAGAACCTGGTGAAACTGCAGGAGGAGGTTTCAGAGGCACAGCAGGTAATATTCAGCCACTCAGCACTTTCATCTGGAGGTCAATATCCTGACAAAGCTGCAGAAGACTGCCACAGTTTCTATATCAGGTCGTTTCTCAGCACAGTCACAAATGATTTAAACAACCGTGTTAGCAATTTGTGTGACAGTGCTTCTCAAAGTGTGGTCCGTGAGCGCCCCCTAGCGGTCCGTGAGTATATTGGTAAAATGTCACATTTGAAATAAATACATTAATTAAAGTTTTCCGCACTCTCGCGGGAATATCTCCGCAATGAAGCGAGCTTAAGTTTATTTTGATTGCGTGATATAGCCCAGCGCAACACCTTCGTCACACATGTTGCCACTTGTTTGTACCATTTTCAGGTGATTTGTAATCTGTTTTTAGAAGAACGATGTGTTTTTATTTGTATTTCAAGAAGCGTATAAATCAAATCAAGTTTTATTTATATATCACATTTATAAACGATTTTTGGTCGAGCCAAAGTGCTGTACATATAATACAAATAGCCTACGGTAGAGACACTTTACAGCAAATACAACAGCACAGATTGTTCAGAATATCAGTATGAGAAAAACGACCCCCTCTGTCCTTAGACCCTCTATACTTAGACCCTCTGTCCTTAGACCCTCTGTCCTTAGACCCTCTGTCCTTAGACCCTCTGTCCTCAGACCCTCTGTCCTTAGACCCTCTGTCCTTACACCCTCTGTCCTTAGACCCTCTGTCCTTAGACCCTCACATCATACAAGGAAAAACTTCCAGAGAAAACCCACAGTTTAAAGGGAACATGGGAGAAACCTCAGGGAGAGCAACAGAGGAGGGATCCCTCTCCCAGGACGGACAGACGTGCAATAGATGCCGTGTGTAAGAGATAATACATTTTTACAGCATATAGACCGAATGTTAGGAAATGCATGTGTCTGTAATAAGAAGATGAATCCACGAGGATGTCAGCTACAATCCTGTGGAAGCCATCAGGGAAGCAGCATGGCGAGACCCAAGGCAGGACCGCAGAGACAGGTTCAGCCACGACCCGAAGTCCACGACTTAATCCAGAACTCAGGATAGAGGATCCAAGACACAGGACTACACACAGTCCGGGTGTGGACGCAAACATGACCAACACTGAGGTGTTAGAGGCGGACTTAAGGGGCACTGCTGAGGGCTACATCATCCATGTGCAGGATCACAAGACTGCCAAGACATTTGGCGAAGCACAGCTGGTGCTTACAGTGAAGGAGTTTAGCTGGGTCATGCGGTGGATGGGGATAAAAGAGGGCTTGTCGGGTCCTCAGAATGAATTCTTCCTTTTCACAACGGGGAAGCATGCCTCCAGGAACCTGAACGCTCACTTGAAGAGGGCTTGGGCTGATGCTGGGCTAGAAACAGCCGTCACCTTCAAAATCCTGCGCACTGCCCTGGCTGACAATATCAAGCATCACCAAGATCCAGAAAGCAGGTCGATTCTCGCCAGGTTTATGTGTCACGACGTAAGCACTGCAGACCGGTTCTACGCGAATACGCCTGGAATAAAGGAGGGATTGAAGATCCGCTGCATGTTCAGGGCGGCAGCAGCTGCAGCAGCAGCAGCATCATCGGAAGGAGTTCTACCGCCGTCAGATACCTCCGAAGAGGACTCAGGGGCGGATAGCAGTGATACCTCTTCTTCAGGGCCGGTTGATACTCCTGATGTGGGGGTAGAGGCCGTGGACTCAGCCTTTTTCCCTCGGTGCACCGTACAAGTTAGACGGCTAATATGGCCCCCGGGCCCCCGCTAATCATGTTTTTATTATGTTTATTATGCATATTGTGTATACTGTTTTTGTAAAAATCATGTGATAATTAAATAAATAAAAAAACATTTTAATAACGTTGAAGATTCCCAGGGGTTGATACAGTGCCAGATATCAGACTATTTAAACAAAGTTTACCCAGGATTCAGGCACCTTCCCTGGCTTGTAAAATGCGGTGATGCGCCCTGGAGGTATCAGACTATTTTAAACAACTTTTCCCCGCCTTTGAAACACTTATTCCTGGGTTTTAGCCTGTCATTTAGCAAGATATGATTTAACATTGAAGCTCTCCTCGAAATTGACATATTCTGTCCATCTCCAGGAGAGCTTCAATGTTAAATGATATCTTGCAAAATGACAGGCTACAAATCTCTTCCAAACGTTTAAAAACACTTTCCCCGACAATTTAAACATTATTTCTGGCTTGTAAAGTGCAGTGGTAGTATCAGACTATTTAAAGGGTTACCAGGGCGATGAGAACATCCTCCACAGGAGGGTGGGTGGTGCTGTGAATAAGGACGAATATGGATGCTGGTGGGCGGACGATAAAGCACCGCAAAATCCACCACCTTTAAGTGTTACCAGAGCCATGAGAACATCCTCCACAGGAGGGTGGGTGGTGCTGTGAATAAGGACGAATATTAATGCCGATGGGCGGACGATAAAGCACCGCAAACTCCACCCCCCCTTTAAGGTTCCCAGGGGCACGAGGTTCTTGAGGGTGTGATCATCTGGGTTTAGTCCGTGGGGGAGTGCTTAAGTCCGGGGGCCCGGGGACCCAAGGTGCGCGAGGTTATGGAAGTACGCATGTCAGGGAGAGATGCTGGAGCTGCTTAGTCCGACCTTTGGGGCTCTGTGAGCCGCCACAGAGAGGTGCTTTTCGCGGTGTATTTCATGGAAGTCTGACATAGCCTGTTTGCTCATGTCAGGGAGCGATGCTAGAGCTGCTTAGTCCGTCATTTGGGGCTCTGTGTAGGGCCAGAAAGAGGTGGTTTTCGCGCTCTGTCTCCTGGTAGTGTGACTTAGCCTGTTTGCTCATGTCAGGGAGCGATGCTGGAGCTGCTTAGTCCGTCATTTGGGGCTCTGTGAGCCACCACAGAGAGGTGCTTTTCCCGGTGTATGTCATGGAAGTCTGACATAGCCTGTGTCCTGTGAAATAGCCTGTTTGCCCATGTCAAATCTTGCTATTAATTGATAACTTTTAATAGGAATCTCTGTTTGACAAATGTTCAGAATGTGCTATTTATTCAGAAATAGCCCATTCTGAATGACCCAGTGTACACATCGTTGTGTACCTCTGTGTCACAGCCCGCTGCTGCTGTCTCCCTGTATTCACATAACTTTTACCCAGCTTTCACACACTTATTCCTGGGTAATTAAACCAGTTTAATGTACTTTTTAACACTGACATACCCAGGATTGAAGCTTCTTTCCTGGGTTACATAGTGCTGTGAAGCAGCCTGTCCTCTGGGTGGGAGAGTGAGGTGCTGGAAGGAGCTCTCTGGGTCACAGCCTGCTGCTGCTCTCTCCCTGTATTCACATAACTTTTACCCAGCTTTCACACACTTATTCCTGGGTAAGAAAGCCATGTGCATCACCCTGGATCTCTGCCTGTGAGTGTGGGACCCTGCTTACAGCAGTGACTCTGCTGTCCATTTCATGAGTAGTCAAATGTGGATGAAATGGACAGGTTTCAAGCTTCTTTCCTTGGTTACATAGTGCTGTGAAGCAGCCTGTCCTCTGGGTGGGAGAGCGAGGTGCTGAAATATTTTGATGTTTAAAGAGGCTGAAGAAGATCGCAGGATTATTTTGTATTTATTTCTTAATGTTTACTTCTTTACATCACATTTTTAAAGAAGATATTATGTTAAAGGGGACCTATCATGCAAAATGCACTTGTTGATGTCTTTTATACATCACTATGTGTCCCCGGTGTGTCGGGGAACTCACGCAGCGTCAGCAAATAAAACCCTCTCTCTTTTCCTCCGTACCCAAATCTCTAAAAACGGGGAACAACGGAGCTGATCCAGATTTGCGTCCGATATGACGTAATATCTGAAATGTGGACCCACGGCCCAATCAGAAACGTTGCTATCAGAAACAATGCCCGACTGTTTTGGACGTAATATGGTCGGTGTTTACATTAGCATCGCTAACACTCAGAGCTAACCTGTACTGGAGAGCATGTGTGTGAAGAAGCAGGAAGTAAAAAGGAACTCACCTTGTGGTATAACCGGCAAGAGAGAAAGCCTTTTTTTTGTCAATTCTTTTTTTTTTGTAAAGCTTTATCCCCAAATCAGCACTTTAGAAACAGGAAGTGAAACAGAGTGATATGAGGCATGGCTAGAATGGGTGATCTGTTTGGTATTTTGAGCAAAACACTTCATGGACATGTTTTTTATAAATGTTTATATCTGAGACCCATGCTATTGCCTACAAATAGCATGATTGGTGACCTTTAATGTAACCATACTTTCCTAAATGAACATTGCAATTGAAATATTCAGATGGACATCATTGTTTTCTGCAATTTACAGTTTAGATATTTGCATCCATTTAGTTCAATTAGTTCTAGGAATATTGCTTATTCATTTCCAAATGAGAAGCTTTAACAGCAACATTTATTTCTGTGCATCTCATTCTTAAAGAAGGATTCATTCTATCGTCATCCTCCATTCCTAAATTAATATCTGTGTCAAAATGATGGTTACAGATCTGTACAAAATGTACTTTTGCAACACGTTGAATATATTGATCAAATACAGTTTTAGTACTTGCTAAACGATCCCCTCTGTCCCTCCTGCAGCGTGAGTTAGAGCTCCTCTCAGCGCTGGATCATCAAAGGATTCTGCTGGAGGAGGCGCAGGAGAGTTGTGTCGTCGAGGAGAACAAGCTGTACGACCTGGAGGAGCAGGTCAGCCACACTCACAAGCAGGTAAACATGTTTATTCACATCTGCATCATATACATAACATTCACTCATATATGACTGTGTGAAAACAATTAGACCTATGCTATACATCTAGTGGAGTCGTGTGCTTTTGACCAAGGTAACGGTGCATTTTACACTACGACAAATTAGGGTTATTGTTGATTTCCAGGTTTAAAAAAAAAAAATCACAATTTCCAAGATAGAGGCATTTAGGAGGAACAATTCTGAAATGTATTAACATTTAAAAAAGTAACACATATATTGTTGTTTTTGTTGTCAATCAATCACATGGCTTTGTCGTTCAGTTACCAGTTAAATCTCAGATAATATCTTAGTTATTTTCTAGTAAATCAGTGTCTTTAGCTTTGGAAATTCTGTGGTTTTTCTCAGATCTTTACTACAACTCCCATCATGCCACACTGCACAACCACAACACGACTAGTTATTTTTCAGAGACCCTGAGGAGCTTAAAATTACAACTATCAGGGTTCGTACGGTCATTAAAAACCTTGAAAAGTCATGGAAATGTAACTAAAGTTGAATCAAATATAATTTATATTTGATCTAATCGCCAAAATAGTAATACTATAATGATAATAAATACTGTATCGTATAGTAATGAAACTTAAAATGGAATTTAACTGCGGAGGTGTTTTGCTGGTGAGAGATTTTAGTTGCTTTAGCGTGTAGGAGCTAGTAAGCCTACTATTTGATTTGTTTTAGATCGCACAACAAGTTTCATATGCAGACCTTATTTTCCTGTTCCATGTTAAAATAAACCGTTTTCAGTGGTACCGCTGAGAAAGAGTAATTTGTTTTGGTCATGGAAAATTAGGTAATGGTCATGGAAAATCATTGGTGAAAAAGTGTATGAACCCTGAACTATTATGCTTCTAATGTTGAAATGTCCCCTCAGGTGGTCCCGGTGCTGCTGTTGGGTCTGAAGCTACTCTCCTGTCTGAATCCGTGCGACCTGGAGGAGGTGCGTCACTACAGAGACCCTCCTGAAGGAGTGGTGAGGATCATGGACGCCGTCTGTCTGCTTTTCAACCGTCCGCCGGGCTGGGAGAGCGCCAAGCAGCTGCTGGGACAAGACAACTTCTTCCAGGTGGGGAACCAGGTTTAAAAATAACAACAAACAGATTACAGTGGCAATATACCCTCTGCATTACATTCATGCACACAATGTACACAATATATATTTTTTTGTATTACTGCACATATTTTATTTCATTCTATTTCAATGTAAATACTGCTATATTCTACAATTGTTTTTAATGTTATTATAGTTTCCTTAAAATAGTTCTCTATCTGTGTTTTTATATATATTTTCTACTTTTATGTATGCACCACGACACCAAGTCAAATTCCTCGTTCCTGGTAATAAACCTGATTCTGATAAATATGTTTTTGAAATAAGTTTTCTTTATCCAATCAAATCCAATCCAACTTTATTTATATAGCACATTTAAAAACAACAGTGTTGATCAAAGTGCTGTACATCAATACATTTATACAAAGCAGCATAAATAAATGTAGATAAAACCGATAGGACAAAAAACAAATGTAAAAAACACGAGATAATAAAACCATACTTATAGCCACAGACTGAAAAACTCTCTCACATAATGCGAAAACAATATAAAACACGAGAACATAGAAAACCCCAATTTAAAAACACAGACTGGTACGTCTTATAGGTGGTCTGCAAAAGCACAGGAGAACAAGTAGGGTTTTAAACGAGATCTACCTGCATGTGCCATCCGACCTCTGCAGCTCATCCAGAATGCAGCTGCTCGCCTGGATTCTAGCAGTTACCAGAAGCCAGTGAAGGGAGCGGAGGAGCGGAGTGGTGTGGGAAAATTTAGGAAGGTTGAAGACCAGACGAGCCGCTGCATTCTGGATGAGCTGCAGAGGTCGGATGGCACATGCAGGTAGACCAGCCAGGAGGGAGTTGCAGTAGTCTAGGCGTGAGATGACGAGAGTCTGGACCAGAACCTGAGTCGCTTTCTGAGTCAGCTGGGGACGTATCTTCCTGATGTTGTAAAGCGTGTATCTGCAGCAACGGGTTGTAGCAGCGATGTTTGCAGTGAAGGACAGGTTGTTATCTAGGATCACACCCAGATTCCTTGCAGTCTGAGTCGGGGAAACAACTGAGGTGCCGATGTTGATTGTTAGGTCAAGAGTGGGACAATCTTTTCCCGGAAGGAAGAGCAGCTCAGTCTTATCAAGGTTGAGCTTGAGGTGGTGAGCAGACATCCACTGAGAGATGTCAGCTAGACAAGCAGAGATGCGTGCAACGACCTGGGTCTCTGAGCGGGGAAAGGACAGAATTAATTGGGTGTCGTCAGCGTAGCAGTGGTAAGAAAAACCATGCGGGCTAATGACTGATCCGAGCGAGTTTGTGTACAGGGAGAAGAGGAGGGGACCAAGAACAGAGCCCTGAGGGACCCTCGTAGTTAATTGACAAGGGTCGTACTCAGACCTTCTCCAAGTCACCCTGTAGGTACGGTCTTTCAGGTATGAGGTGAGGAGGGAAAGTGCAGAGCCTGAAACTCCAAGTTTTTGGAGAGTGCGAAGGAGGATCTGATGATTCACCGTGTCGAATGCAGCAGACAGGTCCAACAGGATGATGACAGAGGAGAGGGATGCAGTTTTGGCAGTGTGCAGTTCCTCCGTGACAGCAATGAGAGCAGTTTCTGTGGAGTGACCTGCCTTGAAACCAGACTGGTGCGGATCCAGAAGGTTGTTCTGATTGAGATAACAGGAGAGTTGTTTAAAGACAGCGCGTTCAAGTGATTTAGACAGGAACGGGAGGAGAGAGACAGGCCTGTAGTTTATAACATCAGACGGGTTGAGAGTGGGTTTCTTTAGGAGAGGGTTTACTCTTGCCTCCTTGAGACTGTTTGGAAAGTGACCAGAAGTTAGAGAAGTGTTGATGAAATGGGTGAGAAACGGTAGAATATCAGGAGCGATAGTCTGAAGGAGGTTTGAAGGGATAGGGTCCAGAGGACAGGTGGTAGGGCGGGCAGAGGTAATGAGGGTAAGAACCTCACTTGGAGAGAGAGGGGAAAAGGAGGTTAGTGTGTTGGTGGAAGGAAGGTCTGGTGACCCAGCGGTGAGTAAAGGTGAGTCAGAAAAAGAAGAGCGAATATCATCAACCTTTCTTTCAAAGTGAGTAACAAAGTCGCTTGACAGAAGTGAGGAGGGGGGAGGGGCTTTTGGAGGGTCCAGGAGGGAGGAGAAGATGGAAAATAGTTTTTTAGGATTGGAATAGGAAGATTGGATCTTATCTTGAAAGAAAGTGCTTTTTGCCTGAGAGATCGAAGCAGAGAAAGAGGAGAGGAGAGCTTGATAGGTTAGGAGGTCGTCACGGTGTTTGGATTTCCACCATTTCCGCTCTGCTGCCCTAAGGACGGTTCTATTAGCACGCAGTGCGTCATTTAGCCAGGGAGCAGGAGGGGACTGACGAGCCTGCCGAGATGTGAGAGGACAGAGAGAGTCCAGAGTGGATGAGAGAGTAGAGAGGAGAGTTTCTGCAGCAGAGTTTGGAGGCAGGAGTTGGAACGAGTCAGAGGAAGGGAGGGCTGAGAGCACCGACGAGGCAAAGGTAGAGGGGGAGAGGGAGCGAAGGTTACGGCGGACAAGTGCAGGATGAGAAGAGATTAGTTTGTTATGTTTGGAAAGGGGTAGAGAGAATGAAATGAAGAAGTGATCCGATGTGTGGAGTGGGTTTACAGAGAGGTTAGAAGTAGCGCAGTTCCTTGAGAATATGAGATCAAGGACATTGCCAGCTTTATGAGTCGGTGGGGACGGAGACAGTGAGAAAGCAAAGGCGGTTAACAGAGATGTTAGTTCGTCTATCTTCCCTGTCTGGAGGTTGAAGTCTCCGAGAAGTACAGCGGGAGGACCAGTTTCAGGGATGTGTGAGAGGAGATTATCTAATTCCTCCAAGAAGTCCCCCAAGGCGCCTGGTGGACGGTAGAGAACAACAATGGTTAACTGTATAGGATGGGTTACTGTGACGGCATGGAATTCAAAGGTGGAAGGAGTGAAGTTAGGTAGCTTGAAGAGGGAAAAGCTCCATTTGGGAGAGAGCAGGAGACCAGTGCCACCTCATCTGCCAGTTGGTCTGGGTGTATGGGAGAAGGAATATGCAGTGGAGAGAGCTGCTGGGGTGGATGTGTTGGATGGAGTAATCCAGGTCTCAGTGAGAGCAAGGAAATCCAGAGACTGCAGGGAGGCGTAGCCAGAGATGAAGTCAGCCTTAGGAACAGCTGACTGGCAGTTCCACAGGCCACCTGAAACTAGATGTTGGATCTCAGTGGAGCATGTGGGATAGATGAGAGCAGGCCGGTTATATCGATTACGAGATACACGGGGCCAGTGATAATTGCGAGAAGACACATGAACAGGAATGGAGAAAATCCACATGATTATAGCATGAGGGGCTAAACAACCAAATAAAATAAAACACCAGCGATTCTTAGCTCAATCAAAGTAGGATTTGCCTCCTCTTTGCCTCCCTCGTGACTCCCGCAGGACTCTAATGTCTTTGCCAGTCTTACTCCCGCAGGACTCTAATGTCTTTGCCAGTCTTAGCCTGTCTGACGCTGAAGCTGACGCTCCAGGAAAGTGCTACCTAAAATGGACACCTGATTGCTGAGTTCTCACAGCTGTGGGGCCACGCTCCTTTAATTAGTTAACTCTGCAGCTGGTGGCCCTCAAAAGGAAATCTAGACTGGCTTCCTCCTGATTTGTTATTGTCTTTTAAGTCAATTACATTAAACCCTAAGTTATAAAGTTATGAGTTTAACCCTTAATACAGTTACACCTACTCAATAAAGCTCTTAGTATTCTACAAATGTTTAAATCAAAGTTAACTAGCAGTCAGTTAGTTCACTTTTAAGGTTTCAGTCAAATGACTTGTCCCAAGTTTCTGCCTGACAGATGCTGTAGCGGTTTGGAGTTTTAAAAACACAATTCCAGTCAGATCAACTACAGAGCATTGATACAGAGTACACACACTGAAACAGAGAAGTCTACAAACACAATGTTACTCACACAATTCTAGAAATCTCCAGTAGCTTTCTTGTCAAAATCGAGTTGCACACTGGCAGGTCAGTGATTAGGATGAGATTCAAATACAGTTTCTGTTGGGGGAGTGGCCTCAGATCCCAGCTGATGGGTCTCAATCGAGACTGGCTTCCTCCTGATTTGTTATTGTCTTTTAAGTCAATTACATTAAACCCTAAGTTATAAAGTTATGAGTTTAACCCTTAATACAGTTACACCTACTCAATAAAGCTCTTAGTATTCTACAAATGTTTAAATCAAAGTTAACCCTAGCAGTCAGTTAGTTCACTTTTAAGGTGTCAGTCAAATGACTTGTCCCAAGTTTCTGCCTGACAGATACTGTAGCGGTTTTGAGTTTTAAAATCACAATTCCAGTCAGATCAACTACAGAGCATTGATACAGAGTACACACACTGAAACAGAGAAGTCTACAAACACAATGTTACTCACACAATTCTAGAAGTCTCCAGTAGCTTTCCTGTCAAAATCGAGTTGCACACTTATATACTAACAAAGCACTTATATACTAACAAAGCACTTATATACTAACAAAGCACTTATATACTAACTAAGCACTTATATACTAACAAAGCACTTATATACTAACAAAGGACTTATTTACTAACAACGGACTTATATACTAACAAAGCACTTATATACTAACAAAACACTTATATACTAACAAAGCACTTATATACTAACTAAGCACAATATACTAACAAAACACTTATATACTAACTAAGCACTTATATACTAACTAAGCACTTATATACTAACAAAGCACTTATATACTCACAAAGCACTTATATACTAACAAAGCACTTATATACTAACAAAGGACTTATTTACTAACAAAGCACTTATATACTAACTAAGCACTTATATACTAACAAAGCACTTATATACTAACAAAGCACTTATATACTAACATAGCACTTATATACTAACAAAGCACTTATATACTCACAAAGCACTTATATACTAACTAAGCACTTATATACTAACAAAGGACTTATTTACTAACAAAGCACTTATATACTAACAAAGCACTTATATACTAACAAAGCACTTATATACTAACTAAGCACAATATACTAACAAAACACTTATATACTAACAAAGCACTTATATACTAACTAAGGACTTATATACTAACAAATGACTTATGTACTAACAAATCACTTATTTACTAACAAAGCACTTATATACTAACTAAGCACTTATATACTAACAAATGACTTATGTACTAACAAATCACTTATTTACTAACAAAGCACTTATATACTAACAAAGCACTTATATACTAACATAGCACTTATATACTAACAAAGCACTTATATACTAACATAGCACTTATATACTAACAAAGCACTTATATACTAACAAAGGACTTATTTACTAACAAAGCACTTATATACTAACAAAGCACTTATATACTAACAAAGCACTTATATACTAACTAAGCACAATATACTAACAAAACACTTATATACTAACAAAGCACTTATATACTAACTAAGCACTTATATACTAACAAATGACTTATGTACTAACAAATCACTTATTTACTAACAAAGCACTTATATACTAACATAGCACTTATATACTAACAAAGCACTTATATACTAACATAGCACTTATATACTAACAAAGCACTTATATACTAACAAAGCACTTATATACTAACTAAGCACTTATATACTAACAAAGCACTTATATACTAACAAAGCACTTATTTACTAACAAAGCACTTATATACTAACATAGCACTTATATACTAACAAAGCACTTATATACTAACTAAGCACTTATATACTAACATAGCACTTATATACTAACATAGCACTTATATACTAACATAGCACTTATATACTAACATAGCACTTATATACTAACAAAGCACTTATATACTAACATAGCACTTATATACTAACATAGCACTTATATACTAACAAAGCACTTATATACTAACATAGCACTTATATACTAACAAAGCACTTATATACTAACAAAGCACTTATATACTAACTAAGCACTTATATACTAACAAAGCACTTATATACTAACAAAGCACTTATATACTAACAGAGCACTTATATACTAACAAAGCACTTATATACTAACTAAGCACTTATATACTAACAAAGCACTTATATACTAACAAAGCACTTATATACTAACTAAGCACTTATATACTAACAGAGCACTTATATACTAACAAAGCACTTATATACTAACAAAGCACTTATATACTAACAAAGCACTTATATACTAACAAAGCACTTATATACTAACAAAGCACTTATATACTAACATAGCACTTATATACTAACAAAGCACTTATATACTAACATAGCACTTATATACTAACATAGCACTTATATACTAACAAAGCACTTATATACTAACAAAGCACTTATATACTAACAAAGCACTTATATACTAACTAAGGACTGGCTTATCTAAAGCCAGTTGAGTAGCACTTGAAATGTTTAGCTCTATGAAACCTGATGTACTTATATGATTCTGTTTTCTTCAAGGTTGTATCTTCTTGGTCGAACGCACTTATTGTAAGTCGCTTTGGATAAAAGTGACAGCTAAATGAAATGTAATGTAATTTAAAAACATGAAAAATGTTTTAAAATAATAATTACAAGATAACCGGGGTAATAATGTACGGACAGTAAAGCAGCCACCAAAGGAAAAGGTGTAACTGATGGTGCTAATATTATAATTAGCTGTCTTGCTATTGCTCTGATTCTCTGCAGGAGTTGGAGTTCTTCGAACGCTGCAGTGTGACAGCAGAGCGTCTGCAGCAGCTCGCTCTCATGGTGCACAGCCCTCAGTTTGTCCCAGAGTCGGTGCAGGGGGTGAGCAGAGCCTGTGAGTCTCTGTGTCTCTGGGTGAAGGCCGTGTTCCAGTGCTGCTGCATGCAACAACAGCTGGAGCTGAAGCAGCAGATGGAGGCCACGGCCAGACACACTCGAGCCAAACTGAACCGCCTGGAGCTGCAGAAGAACGAGGCGAAGCAGCGTCAGGAGGAGGAGAAGATACAGCTGGAGGGGGTGAGAGCAAAACTGAAGGAGACAGAGAAGAGGATGCAAACA